CCTTGGTACCCTTGACGTACCGTCCGTTTCGTCCACATGTGAGATACGAAGTACTTAGTTGTCTACTTTTGCCTACAGTAAGGAACTTGGGATGTGCTACTGTGGATATTGGTACTTTCGTACTTCAGACTGCTTTTGTCAGACCACCCACCTCTATTATTGTCACAATATTACCCAGCATTAGTGAGCGATGCCTCTCCATTACTTCCCACTTCACCTTCGCACGTTCAATGTGGTGGGTACAGTTTCGTGTTTCGCAAGCGACTGCTCTTTCCTTCCCCTTTTTCGCTCGGGCGGCTTTCCCCAAACAGCACTGGAGGCGTCGTGCCACGAACAATCCTTCGTACAGTACGCTGTGCAGTTTACTTCGTCCGAGCAACATGCCAGCCTGAGGAATTCCAGTTCAATATCCAGGTTAAGCAAAGGTTATTTGGCTGCTTCGTATTGCCATCCATCCCAGTGCTGTGGTGATTCAAATCATCTCGGTCAAACTTCGTGGCACAAAAAATTCCCATTTAATTCCAGCAACCACCGTAAGCCCTATGTCTCCCCTGCAAGGGGCGGGAATTAGCTTACGAGGCACAGTGCTGGGTGAGGGACTGTTCAGTTGGGCGCCATTGACTCAGGCCCTGTCTTTCCGCTGAAATCTGACGAGAAAGGTGGAGGCGCACGGTATACCCTTTCGGTACGCCGACCTCTTTCCTCTTTCGCGCATGTCGTCATCCAGCCACTCCACAATTTTTGGTACCACCCAAGTCCTGAAGCATTGGTGTCCCAAGGTCGATCTCAACGCTACAACTGAGGACGCCCTCCACTACGAAGTACGAAGTACTTGTCCATACCTTTAAGAGGATGGCACCGAGAGGGCGGACATCCAGGCCCGTCTTCCCCATCACGAAGGCGAGCACTAAAACTTAGCGGGGCGGTCCCTTTGTTCTCAAACACCGCGCGCTCTGTGCTTTAGGGTTTCTGCCCACCTTCGTAAATGACGTTGAACTGATTGATATCCGATCAATAGCTTCCCTCAAGCTGCTCCACTTGATTCACTCTGCCACTCGAATAAAAATAGTGATTCCTTGGCCAGCCGGCTACATCAAATATCAACGTTGATTTCGATTCGAAGAGAGTTTTGGACCCCAAGGAAAAAGCCCCATCATAGCCACGATGACGGCGTCAAAGATCGAGATCCAAAAAGCCAGTCGGTGTTGGCTACGTTACTAATTTTGAATGGAGCAGTTCCAGGCACAACATCGAATTTGGTGGATTCGAATGGAGGGTGTGAGCGGTACGTACCTCTGTTCAAATTGTTGCAAAGAGGGGCTTGGCGCTTGAGAGGAAAAGGGACATGGGTGGACAGTGTACTGCACGGTGCGGACGGGATGGGTCTGAAGTCCGAAGTCTGGTCATCGTGGGGCCAAGAAACGAAGCAAGTGCGACGGAATGAGCAGACAGAGAGACTCGCTCAGCGGAAGGTGCAAGTGGAAACTCGGAGCCTTCAAGTCTCGGTTCTACTGGCTTCCACGGAATTAACGAGAGAGAAAACAAGCGAACTATAATACGTGAGAATGAAAATAATTGATGTCTCGTCCAAGACTCGATCAAGTCAAGCCATCGCTAGGCAACACAATTCTGCCAGTCTCAAACAACATCTCGAAATTCCAAGTCACCAAAGTACCAATCTCACCTACCTAACTCAGTAACACAGCCAGGTAACGTAACTTTAGACAGGCTGCATCCGACTCCACGACACTCTAAACTCTATATTGCCCCTGCCACCCCTTTCGCGTGTTCGGCTTCCAGGAACACTCAAGGTTCGTTTGGACGGGCAGTTTCTCCAGAGATTAATTTGAGAAAAAGAGAATTAAATGAAGATGAAAAGTTCTCCGCTGGCAATTTGCAACTACCGTAGACATAGACACAGGCCAAGGCAGAGAGAACCTGGGTGTGCTTCCCGTCGGCTGGTGTCCGGAAAGGACAGAACATCCGGAAGGATAGAAACTGCTGTCTGTCAACTTTCAATGTTCACTTGGGAAAAAATAAGCGGTTTTTTTCTGATCTGTCTGTATGCTAACCTCTCCTTCGTAGTGTGTAAGGTTCGCCCCGAGCATGCACAGCGAAACTCAGCACCCAACAGAACGGACTGGGTGACCTCACCAGAAGTGCATCATCCTTCATCCTCTTCCCTTCATGTCATCCTTGGAATGCACTTCGATGTCCCTCAGTCAGCCCCCCACACACACCTTTCAGCCAGGCATCGTGGATCCCCGAGCATGCCGCGAAGGAGCAACACTAGTAACGCCCACAAGGAAAAGGGGGTCTGGTCTAGTGTCGAATAATCCATCATTGATCCGAATCAAGTCTCAGGCCAGACCGTCGTCATCCGGTTCAGCTTTTCATCCAGCCGAGTTCGGATGTCGAGTTGAATCTGGCCAAGATCGAAGTTGGATCAACGAAGGAAGGAAAATCTCAAGTCTTTTTGCTTCTTTCTCAATAACAAAAGAGAAAAAAATAGACATATAAATCGACACGGCTTAATAGAAACAGAGACTTGCATACAATAGCCATTCGATCGGCATGAACATTGCCTCGCCGTCGTACGGCGCCCGCGTGGTCTTTCCGGCTGACTTTTGTGGTTATTATCGCCATTATCAGCCTGATCAACGTCGATAGAGCCCCAGATAGATGAAAAAAAGAAAAGAGGTGGCAACGGTGCCAGACATTGCCCCAAGTTCCGGCAAATAATAGCGCTACGAGGTATTAACCATAACAAAGGCGGATATTGTGTGAGCCATCATTGATCAAGAATTGGATCTCGAGTCAGCCACCTGCTTTCTGCTTTCCCTGGCAAGGCACTCTCAAACTCCGCCATGGTATGTCCTGTAGCCCCAGCCGGGTCGTGTGCCCATTTGCCAGCCGCCTCTCCTGACTGGATTTTTTTCTCATTTATTTATTTATTTCCTTTTTTCCTTGATCCATCGGTTGGTGTTCCTCGGGCTCCGCTTGCAAGAAGCATCTGCTCTGCTCTTTAGCGAGCCGCCAAGTCTGTGCAGAGGAACTGCTTGGCATCGCTTCTCACATGGCATCGATCCCTTACCATCCCGGTCCCGCCTCTAGCTGAGCAAAGCGGGATGGACTAGGGCAATGCATGGAGGTGCGTTGGCGACGGAGATTCTGGGCTCTCTTGGGACAACCATCCTCTCAAGAACGAGAACTTGATAATATGCCCTAAACTGTAAAGGAAAAGCATCAAATCCCTCGACTTTCCGAGACAAGACCATTGCCCCCAATCGCATCTGCTCTGGTTAGCCGGTTTACGGGAATGGTTCAAAGCAAAGTCTGGTTGATCCAACTCAATTCCCTGCTTTTCCTCTTTAAGCCTTCCATAATCCCAACGTCGATCCTACCTCCTCCTCCGCAAATCCCTCCACGCACAAACTATGCCTCCACCACATCCCCGCACTCCTGGATCTTCAGAAAAAAATTGAGGTTCGGCTGAAGCCAAAAGAAGAAACAAGGAGTTCAAGAGAGCACGAGGGGCATGAACGAGGTTGGTTTGGATGGAGGCCTTGTGTGAAGATTGGCGGGGAAGAGAGCACCGGACCCGAAGCTTCACAAGATTAGTAGCTACAATAAGCTCAATGGGATCCTCCAAAGCTTAAACATTACAGCCACTGCTCGCTAGTTTTGAATCGAGTTCTTCCCTCTCTCTCTCCCGGCGGCGCTCAGCTTTTCTAGGTCCTCCACTTTTCGGGCCATGCTCCCCTTCGTAGACTCGATCCCTGTTCGTTCCCATCGAGCCGATTCCAGACAACACCATTGATGCCGTCTCCCATTCCTGTTTCCTCCCCGAACCACCAGAAGTATCAGATAAAGCACCTCATGACCCGGAACCTCAAAAGTCTGCCTTTCAATGCCCTCCGCCCCTCCGGTGATTCCGTCTTGAAAGCGCGGGAGGGGGAGCAGGGTCTCGGAAGCGGGAAATGCCTCGCACCTAGTGAACCCGCCATGCGATCAAGCTCGGACTTACCTATTCCAGCGACATCAACACCACATGCACTCTCAGGAGAACTTGGGGCCTCGATCTTTATGCCTCGCCGCTATTATCAGCACATAATATCTCTTGGATCTTCTCTCGAAGGAACGAATCCCTGCACCACTTTTTAAATTACTCTCCGGCCATAGCATCGTGTGCGGAGACCCGATGTGGTTTCACCATGCAGGTCCGCACGAACGAGTTTCGTCGTCTTTGGCGGTGGTCGAAGTCTTGGCTCTTACCATGAAAGAAGGAGAATAAAATATCCCACGGTGATAGAGAGATGAAGTGTCGAGGACTTAACCCAACTTCTCGACGTAGCCCGGAGTATTACACGAGTAGAGAGCTTGTACGAAGGAGTGTAATGGCTCGATCTCTACCCCCGTCTTGATCAAGTCTAGACGCGCCCTGCAGGGGCCAGGCTACGAGAAACAGCCCCCCCCCCCCAAAGACAGCCACATTGAGCTACATTTAAAGGCCAAGACCGTACTAGCAAGGGACGTCCAACCTTGATGGTTGCTATCCAGGTCCTTGATTGAAATAGACATAATAGAGTCTCGCCAAGGAAACCCAGTCCGGGGAGATTTGACGGCGGAATATTCGTCAATATATCATTTTCACAGGCTCGCCAGTCATTCAACATCAGATGTGTACATTAGACATGTCCCTCGAGATACACATCAATCTACCGTGATCTATACCATCAATATGTAGTCCGACAAGAACAATGCTCGCTCCTCCCAACTACCAAGGAACAATAAGTAAGTCAAACATGACTCAAACCGCGGGAGAAAAGAAAAAGAGAAAAAAAGAGTAAGGTAAAGAAAGCAGATTCGTCCCACGCCAACTTTTCCTCGACCGACCACTCTATATGCCGATAAAGTAAAGAAAGCGTAGCAAGAAATGAACCAATGCGTCACATGCCCAAACTCCCCTCCGACTCCTCACCTTCGCAACTCGGGTCCTCCTATCCCCACGCCACGAACACCTTCTTCCCCTTCTTTCCTTTCTTCTTGCCTCCTCCTTCACCTCCGTCTTCTTCCTCTCTCTCCGTATTGTTTCCGCTAGCCGCTTGCTGCGAACTACCACCGCCCCACGAGAAACCTGTGTCTCGGTTTGCGCCCCAGTCTCGGCGGACGCTACCCCTGCCGTATCCGTACAGGCTGGTCACGGGCTTCGGCGCTGCTGGTAGGGCCGGGAAGTTATCCTCGCCGTGTGGCGGGCGGCCGGCAGCCTTGGATCCTCCGCCGCTGCTGCCGGATTGGCCTCCCGCAGATACGGCCCACGATCTCGCCACGTTCGATGTACTCGCCGATGGTCGGGCTACGGTGGGAAGAGCCGGGAACGCGGAGGCCGGCGGCGGACGGGCTGTCATCGAAGGTGGGGCGGTCCATGAAGACGAAGCACTCGATACTGCGGGGCCTTCCGCACTCTGACGAGTACTACTTTTGAGCCGGAGCACACGGTTGGAATGCCTCTGTGATGCCGTGCCGGCGGGGGATGCCGGGGAAGCCATGGCGGCGGCAGCCCAACCGCTGCTAGCCGTGGTCGCTCCGTGCATACCGCCGAGTCCCGGAAGAGACGGGTAATCCTCGTTGATAGCCCTCCAATCCTGCCATGCCTTGCGGAGGGCATCCTCCTTGCCGGGATCCTCAAAGAGCTCAGCGAGTTCTCGGACTAGGATGCCGAGAGAATTTGACGAAGTATCGGAAAAGAGGGTAAAAAGTGCATCGACAAACTGCGGCGCCGTCAATTTTCCGTTCTTGTACGAGGACACGCCTTGCCTAAAGCGTGCCATCTTGGCCGCATCGTTGCCCAAGAACGTCTGCGCACGCTCGATAACGCCTCGGTGGCGCGTCAAGCGTGCCCTATCCTGTACCGAAAGAGATGCCATGTCAATCGACTCTACCGAGTCCGTCTGGTTACCGAGCGAGAAAACGGGTGTCGTTGCAGCCTGCGCCGCCGAGGAGGAAGCGGCGGCGCTGGGACGGCTGGGTGCAGCAGCCGCAGCAGCAGCGGGGGCGGCAGCAGGCCTAGCATCCGTGCTAAGCTGGCTACCAAAACTGCGGTTGGATACACTCTGGGTCGACTGAATCGCAAGCTGCCGGTGATATGCCAGCTCATCCCTCCGCATCGGTTGGGCTGAACTTGCCGGCACGGGCTCGGCGTTGGGATCTTGGCCTCGTCCTCGGCCTGCTCCCCCCCGCCTTCCGCCGCGCCTTTCGGAGAGCTCCCACTGATAGGACGGACGGAAGTCAAACGACGACATGTCAACGACCCTGGCGTCCCTCCTCACATCCTTGGATAACGTGTTTGCGTGCTCGCTGAGCTGGTGGGCCTTGAGGTCGAGTTCCGACTCGAAGACAACAAATTTCTTCTCCAGGCACTCCTTGTCTAAGCACAGGAAATGGGCCGCCTTAAAGTGCTTTTCTAAAGCGTCGTAGTCAAGGAAGTAGTGGGGTTGTCGAGAATCGTGTCTGTCGCAGATGAAGCACCTCTCGTGCTTGTTTCGGCAATGTTCGTAAAGCTTGTCATCGTCGTAGAATCGCTGCCCGCAGAAGCCGCAGAGAGGGTGTCCCTTAAAGCCAGTCTGGTCCAAAGCACCAGGCCGATCGTCGCCTCGTCTCATGTGCTTCTCGAGCTCCTTGTCCTGGAAGAGTTCATGTTCGTGGGTAAAGAGCTTTTTGTTCCTCGTACAAAGATCGCACATCTTCTTGTGGTGAGTCGACCTAACATGCCTATGGAGATCAGGCCATCCAAGAGCGGCAAAGTCGCAAGAAGGGTCGGGGCAGTTGTATCGTAGAAGGAGGACAGTGTCGCCGACAATGTCCTCGTTGACGTATCGTATGCCGATGTTATCGTCAGTGCTCGTGACGTCAGCGTCGGTGTAATCTTCATATCGCTTCTCCGGATCGTCTGTAAAGATGACGAAGGGTGCCTGGGTCTAGAGTCGGGAACTGGTTAGCGTTGTCGAAACATTTAACATCGTTAACGGGGGGCGGGGGAAGAAGGCTTACTCTGCAGTGAGGGCAGTCCTTGGTCTTGTAGAGAGCCCTCATGCGCAGGGCACAAATGTGGCACGTCCTATGATTGCAAGGAGCAACCGCATAGTGCACAACGGGATTCGCACAAATAAAGCAGACCTCGGCATCTGAGTCTGTAGCAGCAACGGACTGGGCATCGTCAGCTGGGGGGGGTTTGGCCGCGGGCTCCGCTACGGGCTGTAAGGGGGCGCCCTCGCCGGGTGTCTGATCCGAGCTGTCTCGCGCCTGCCTTCTCTGGCGTCCACCATCTTGAATCGCGTTTCCTCGTCCTCTGCCCCGACCCCTCCCTCGTCCTCGACCGCCGCCTCGGCCGCGACCTCTTGAACCATCAGCTCTTGTTTGGGATTGTGAAGATTGTGAATTTGTTGCCGCATCAGCAGAACTAGATGGTGTCCCAGCCATGATCGGTTGTGCTGGGGGTTGTATTGTATTGTATTTTGAGTTGTATCTACTGGTGGGTGCTGTTCCCGACACTTGGGGTTGCTGCTGAAATACCGATCGAAACTGTAGAGTGTGGTCGGTCGCGGGGTATCAGTAGGGTTGCTACCTTGTCGCTGTCAACGGCGAATTTCCTCGACACAATTGTAGAAGAAAAATCGATGGTGCTGAGAGAGGTAAGGAAATATTTTCAATTGAATGCAATGAAGGGAATACGAATGTTTAGAGATAGGTTATTTGGAAAGAACTAATGAAGATATTACAAAGTGGGTAGAAAATATTCTGAGATTTTGATTTCAAAAAAAAGAGCCGGCGGCTTTACACTCTAGGTCGAGTCGTAGCTCCCCCCCGGTCACAGAAAATCCGAAGTTAGTGTAGCAAACGCTACAACTCGGAGGTAGCTCCTGGCGGGGTCAATTTGGGAGACCTTGAGTCCTTGGCGCCTCCTTCCCGCCTTCGCCACAATCTGGTGCGTCATCCGGCCAGACCAGCCCTGTGGCGCACCTTCCACCTCAAGGCAATTATCCGGCTGTCCAACCATCTTGATGTGTCATCCTAAAATCACGCACTAAAATGAATCAACGACTTCAGGTTATCGTAGGGTGGATTAATGGGTGGACCTGCATTTTGCTCGTCATCCGGCAAGAAACCCTTGTAAATCCAGCCATATTGAGCAGGAACGCATTAGACGCCCCTGTGAAGCTATCGTCCAGGCCTAGTTAAGCTGCCTGAAGTCGTCCAGCTCCACCATCCAATCTCCCAGCTGCCTCTCTAAATATCCTCAAGCGTAGCGGATTGTACGAAGGAGGGTCTTCTCTCGCGAGCAGAGGCTCGTCGGGGCGGTTCCCCGATGGCTAGGCGTAGACTCCGGGCAGTAAACAAGCCTCGCGGGGGAGGAAGACGTCTATGATATCTCCTCTCTGCGGGGTTGACGGCGCTGGGAAATGGGAACCGAAAGCCTTGATAGAAGTGTTTTACGCGGACAGTTCGCTCCTTGAGGTTACGGGACTGTCCGTCAAGTAAGTGGAGGCTGCCTCTACCACAATATCAGGGAGAGTGTTATGGAGAAGGCACATAGCCATTCCTGTTCAAAGTCAGATGATGTACTTCGTATTTTAAGATTGGCCAGCTCTTCTAATTTGGAAACCTAAGAGGTGTGAATCGTTATGCCCCGACTATTGTCATTTCCATTGTCCCAGGCTCTAATGCACAGGTGAAAATCGTCAATTTATTATGGGGAGAGTGGATAGAAACCCATAGGTAACCCATCACGGCGACCTCACATCGCCTCTCCACCAACGTTTCGTTTTCGTGTAGCCAAGGAATCACACTTGGTAGATACACCGGGTTTCATAGGGTCTGTCTCTCCGTCCCCCATCGTGGCAATGAAGAACCGACCCTGAGATCAAGTTCCCCCAGGCAGGTATTGTCTCGGAACGTCCCCAAAACACGCCATCACACATGAGACAACATCAAAATCACAAGCAAGCCATGTACCACAGAAACCCTCGTTTCAACTGACTTCCCTATCAACAACTCCATGGACGCTATCGAATCCCCTAGAGCCATCGACCTCATTCCACCGTGAACCCTTTCCCAAACACCACCTTCCAGCAACCGCCCCTTCCACATCAACCCATAAAAACACAAGGAGCTTCAAAAAAAAAAAAAGTAGAGGCGAGAGGACGCACTCAAGAAACCGAGAAGAAAAGAAAAAAAAAAAAAAAGACCAAAAAGCAAAGAAGAAAAGCCAGATATAAAAAAACCACAAGATGCCCTGTAATGCCTAAGCTACCGACTATGGAAAGAAACACCAAAAAGAGAAAAAGGCGGACGAAAGAGAGAGAAAGAAAACAGAAAACCAAATCCCCGCTCCCGAAAAAAACTCGAATTTTCCCACTGGCGCACCAAAGAAGTGATCGACGTAATAAGCGGAAGAAAAGATGTGTGTCATGACCTGAAAACGCGAGTAAGAAAATGCGAAATGCGTTGGATACAGACCTGCCCCGCTTCCACACACGGTCAGTGTGACGGGGAAGAATTAGATCCATGTCAAGACTGAAAATGTTTGCTGCCAATACGCCGTGATATGCTTTCCGAACTAGAAAGAAATGTCTGTCCGCGGCTACATCCGGGGGGGAGGGACGGCACGCTGAACTAACCCCCAGCTAGAGCGTTGTATACGCGAATCACCGTCATCATCATCACTCCTCTTCAACGGGGTATAGGTGATTTCCGATGTGCTTGTTCATCTGGAACATGTCAACCTTGGACTGCTTAAAGACGGCCATCATCTTTTCATCGCAAATGATTTGTCGTTTATCCTTGGGGTCTTGCAGGTCATTGGCCTTGATGTGTTCCCAGAGCTTCTTGACGACCTGGGGTCGCGAGAGCTAAGAAGCGGAGGGGAAAACGTTAGAAAAGAGAAAAATAAATAACAGTAGCGGCCGCATCGCGAGCAGCAGTAGCTTGTGACACATCACAGGCGATTGATGGCATACCTGAGTTTCACCACACAGCTCGGCAAGGTGGTGGCTAAGGTTAAATGGCTTTTGGAAGCCGCCTCCAGCTTTGCGCTTAGGAGGACCCGAATCTTCGCTCCCTTCCACGTCGCTATCGTCGTCGGCGCGCACCTTTTTCTCGCTCTTCTTCTTGGGAGCCTTCTTCTTCTTCTTGACCACGCGGGTAGCGCTTCCACCACCGCGAGTGGTCCTAGCTCTCGCCAGCCTGTTCTCTTGGGCCTGCAGCTCGGCGGCAAGTTTCGCGTCGGCGTCGAGGGATGGGTCTCGCTTTTGCTTCTTGCGGGCGGGCTCGACGGTCGTGGACACTTCTATCTCGCCTTGGGTATCGTCGGCGGAGACGGAGCGGCCGTTGGCTTGGCGCTTGGGAGATTGGTGGTTGGCATCGGGAAGGGAGGAGGGAGGGGGGATCACAATGTCCTGGGACGCTCCGGAGATGGCATCGAATCGAGCCTCAATAAGTCTCTTGATCGCCTCCTGTAGAGAAAGGAAATGTCAGAAGTTGACTCATTCCGAGCGGCGAAAGGAAGAACGTGAAGGAACGCAAAGAAAGGAAACATGCAGCCCGGTGTTCCAAGGGGGTGGAGACGGCGGCTTTTGGCATAGATTAAATAGTCACTAGCCGGGTATGTTGCAAACCCACCTTTTGCTCGCTCAGATCCTTACCACCCAAGGCCCTCTCCAGGCCGAGGCGAATCTTCTTGCGCGTGACGGTGTTGAGGTCGGCAGTCGCGAGAATGGCGTCGATGATGGAGGTGTACTTGGTCTCCTCTTCGGGGGTCACTGTATCAGGGGCAGCGAAGCCCGATAAGGTCAGCATGCAAGGCTGCTACGTAAAACACTGCACAGCAACAGAGCAGTCGTGCGCGTTGCGCATGTGCCAGCGGATATATACGCACAAGGAGTAGACATTGTGAAAAGGCGGTCGGGTATCCCCGGTTGAGTCGAGTGGCGGGGTGATAGAAGCAGATGCTCGGCGAGAGGGCCGTCCGCAGACCAGAAGTCTTTGCGATACCAACGATCAACTGACCGCAGGAGTAATCAACAATTATCCACCAGCCGCACGTGCAGGCACGAGAAGGATATTTGCAAGGCCAGGGTGGTGGGGTGGTGGACGAACGGCGGAACCCGACTGCGGCAAGGCGGCGGCGCTAGAAATGATGCAAGCAAGCAGCAAACGGGACGGGGCACCAAAAAAAAAAGAAAGGCGTGAAAGATGAAAGGGCCAAGAGGAGGCTAGAGCATATCGCAGTTTTCTATAATGCAATGATGAGTTGCGATGCTCTTAACAAAATTGTGTCTTTTGGCGGTGGTGGTTTTCGATTTCTCAAAGAAGATGGCTGGGAAGTTCGGATGAAGTCCGGAACGCGCACAAAGAGGCGAGGGAAGAAATGTGGTCAGTTATCGCGACAACCTGAAAGGCTCGTCGTGGGATTGGTTGGTGGGTGACGTTCCGTCCCGCGGCAGGAGGGTGGGGAAGAAGAAGAAGAGCCGCTGGAAATTCTCCGTTTGCGACTTCAGCTTCAGAGGGAAAGGCAAGAAAAGGGAGAGGGGAGATTGGTTGGCGGTAAGAGGTGCTAGGCAAGAGGAGGGAGACTGAGGAGTCAGGACTGTCGAGGTTAAGATTGGGTTCAATGTTTGAACTGGGAAAGGAAAGGCTGAAGGTTATGACGAATTAACTGTTTGGTGGCACACGGGCACTGACGATCCTGCAGCAGGGGGGGAGGCAAGGAATATGGGGTGATGAAGTGTCGTTGAAATATTCTCGGGACGGAAAAGGAAACGGGCGGTTCGAGGAATGGCGCCGCCGTTATTAAGCCACTTTGGCACTTTGTAAGTTTAAGAGGAAGAGAACAATGGACCAATTCAATTGATCATTGATGTTTGAGATTGATCAAATTGTTGGCGTGCGTGGAATTTGCAGCGTGCGAAGTACAACCGCAGTGTAGTGCTGTCCAGTCAGTGCAGGCCCTGCAGCAGCGTGAGCAAGACCGGTCGGCGGCTCGCCGAAATAGTTTACAATCGTCTAGTGCTTCAGAAGTGCCGTGCCCAGGCTCTAGGGTAGTAACAGTCGGGCTAGTCCGGAGCAGCCAGCTACACTAGAAATGTTGGAGTCTGCGGCTGGCTACGCCGATTTTGGAAAAACCGAGAGGCTGCGGGCTGGATTTTAGTTGGCGACGGCTGGAGTGATTTGATAAGGCCTGACGACCGTGTGGGGTGCATGAACTGTAACTGTAGTTGAGTTGTAGTGCCCAGTGTGCGCTGCAGGAATGTTGGTTACAGTTGAGTTCTCGCTTCAGTCGCTTGATAACCAGTGAAGCCACCTGCTGCAATGATACCACGCCAGCGGGTCTCGCGCCTGGGCTGGGCTCAACTGCCTGGATGGGCCTGGCTCTCGGAGTTCACCCTCACCTGGGCAGAATGGAGGATGGCTGGTCTAGGCTGGTGGCTTTCCTTCTCAGAGTTTGGGGGTTCTGTGTCTTTTCCCCAAAATTCCAGTGCTCAATGTTATCAATGATGGGGACAAGACTGGTCTGGTGTGTCACGTCGATCTAGGACCAACACCTGACAAGATCTGGGACACGATCAAGGGCACGTTATCGGGGAAACTAAGTTTATCACTGTCTTGGATGGATAGAACTGTGCATGCTGTGTGTTGCTTTCAGAGCCATCAAGAGCACTGGTTTACGATGGTGATGAACAGCGTACCTTTGTAGCAGGCTGTTTCATTCGGATAGTTGCATGCTTCAATATTTATTCGTAATAATGGTAAATCGATGCCGCTTGCAGCGTCCACGCGGAACTTGCCGGGCCCACCTGGAACCACTCTCATCATGTCACCAAGCTTTTGGATCGCCAAGGGACCTCGTCTCGATAGCCACAGACAACCAGATCTCTTGAAGCTCTCCAGTAGTTTTGCGAAAAACAAATACTAACCATGATTATTACCATGATTCTACTTCTGTCAGGTCTATCTACTGCTCCAGCCTCATCCCACTTGATCCTTCATTTGATTGCTTCCACTATGTTCTTATCTTGACAGTGGACAGCAAGATCTCTGCACAAGTTGCAGGCCTGCAGCAACCCCCCTTGCAAAATTAATTCAATGGGTGAGCCAGCATTTCAGAATCCATGCAAGACTGCATGTGAAAAACGACATGCTTGTGTACCTTTGACTCTTCGAGTCACACAGCGTTTTACTCAATCAGACCAAGCAAACGAAGAAGAGGAATAAACCGAAGAAAGCAATAGCAACAAATAAATAAATCCCAATATCGAAGCTGCAGACGAAAGATATTCAAGCAGATCTCCCCCCACCTCGCGCATTGCGGGGTGAACTAACTCCTCGCCTCCGTCGCTGTCAATTGATGTCATGTTAAGGCTCCTCTCTCCTGACCGAGGCAGGTCTCGAGATGCCGAGCTACTTCGTATTCTAAGCAAGCTGTATCTGATAATCATCATCAATACTTCAATTGACGTTTGGCAAGGGGCCACGTCCCATCGATTGATATCTCGTAATGATATATTAAACTACACTGTACCGCCCCAAAACTGACAGAAAGCATCGATTCATTCATGACGCCACCTCTTAAGAGCTCATCCGCGTGACATGGGTCAGACCAGAGGCGGTCTACCAAAGTATTGTTCATTATCATTTGATAAATATATTCAGGTTATCGTCAACCTAATCCCCCTTTGCCCCCCCTAGATCTTCGTTTCAACACATTCACTTTTTTTTTTGCCCTCGCCGCCATGGAACAATTCGAAATCCTCGTCATCGCTTTCTTAAGCTTCCTCATCTACACTGGCGTCTATGTCTTCTACCTCTGGAGACAAAGACTGTGCCCAGCTCGCGATACACGACAGAAACAGACCGTCTATCCCGCCGAGAAGGGGAATGTCCCAATCGAATCCCGATCTCCACCAGATCAAAAAGCAGAGGAGCCTTTAGAGCCTGCCTCCTCAGTCCGATCTATCATGTAACAGCGGATGGACTCGATCCAGCTATCGCTGCTGGTGCGATATGTTAACATTCTCTCTACGGTACTTTAACTACCTATGCCGACCGACTTCCGACTTTTATAATCATTATCATCGATATAAACTCTTGGGCCTTTGAGAGCGCCAGTCCATTCCCTAGGACCACCCATCACCCGCCTGCGACTATTTGTCGATTCCACCTGCGACCGTTTTGCTCCGACCTCCTCAACACTACCTGCCTGCCCAGGTGCCTCGTCGTCTCTGCCAAGCGCCGCCAAAAAGCCAAAGGAGGCGCGGTGTGCAGACGCCTCGCTACGAACTCCGCATGTGCCGCCGTATCAGAGCCCTGAAAGCATCGCGGAGTATAAGACCTATCGAAGACAGCGGCAGATTGATGACTTTATATATGTTATATCCCGTCCGGTTTTCGATTAGCTCGTCCAAGTTTGGGTTGAATTCCATGGGGCCGCTCCTTCGCATGAAAAGGTCGGGGTGAAGTACTGAGGTATGAATATATATTCTTTAAATATATTCCTTTCTCGGCTCGAGATGGGCAGGGGTGCAAAAGAAGTGTAAGTCCCGACCCCAAAATACCACCCAGCTCGGTAGATGTGCTTGGCACTCTCCATCTAGAATAAAGCTTCCACTAACAACAAATCCCTCAGGCCCGCCTCCCCGGAACACGCACCGCCCCTCCATCCCGTCGACGAGATCAATGTAGGAAGCGCGGTAAGGTGCTAGGAATTCGGGCATGAAGAGTATATGACCTGATATCGTTGATTCCCCTATTCTTTTCATGGGCCACTCAGTCAAAATTCCACAGTAATTCAACAACCTGATCAGCTTCCCGTTTCCGTGAATTCCCTTTGAGAACGTATACCTGCCTCACCGAAGTCGGCGAAAGCGCCTCCGCGTGAACCAGCCGATAACTAAGCTTCTCTCCCTCGGGGACCTTGCCCCTCAACGGCCCTAGGCTAACATCAAACGCCCCGTCCGTAACACCCCACGTCTCCTCCGTCTTATCAAGATCAATCTCGCTCAAGCCCCCAGGGTATACGGCTATGGAATATCCGTTCGTAAAAATCGTGTCGTCGCCGAAACCCCAGCGCTGCAGGAAGCAATCGCCGCAGAACTTTGCTATGAGCGCCATCTTGTCGACGGGGTGCTTGTACCAGCTCTTCCAGTGGTGCAGGCTGAGGGGCTGGATGCCCGACTCGAAGAAGCCTGAGACGTCGCCGCGCATGTCCTGTTGGTGGAGCCCGTGGATGTGGGTGAGCTTGGCCCTGGTGTGGAGGTATACGCAGTCCATCAAGATGCCGTCGCCTTGGTCCGACTGAGTCTCGGCGAGGCACTCTTCGAGGTGGTTGTCTAAAGTCCTTGCCGTTGGTACGGAGAGAAACACGCCGGCTCCGCCGAAGGCCATGAATCCCCAATTTTTAACGGCTCGGAAATCTTCGGAGAGAGCGCCGAGGTACTGGTCTTTGGTATGATCGTAACGATCGAGTTCTTGAGCCAATTTGTAGAAGGAGGGGAAGAAGGTATCGTCGTCGAGGATTCCGATCCACTTCGTCTGAGAGTCGGAGTAGCGCAACAAATCCCGTATTATAGCGAAGTGGTTTTGTGAGGTAGTAAGCCCTTCGATCGTCGGATTGATAATTGTAGCATCGATGCTCTGGCGGGAGAACAGGAGCTCTAAGTCGTCGAGCTGCTCCCGAGTAGCCGGTTTGGAATCGCTCAGTATAACTACCAGCTTAGCAGACGACCTCGACAGCCAGTGCGCCAAAGTCGGCACCGAGTCCCTCAAGCGCTCTTGCGAAGTGACGATGCCGAATATGAATTCCGAATATGTCCTATCGGGATGCGGAAGTGGGACGTGTAATGGAATCGATTCGCAGGGTTCGACCTCAGCGCCATTGCACGAGGAAAGTTCAATGTTTCGCTTCGAGGGGAACAGCGATTCCGGGATGTGGACTACTTGGTCCCTATCGACATGTGTCGACAGCACCGGTTTAATACAGCGCCGAGAAAAAACGATCTGGTCGGTCAGGCGCAAAGACCGAAGGTATTCGAGCTCGGCCGGACATTCGCCAACTTGGCCACTTGCTTGTGGATGGGGGTGGCGAAGGGCATCATCGTCGGGCCCGCTCGAGGACAGTCGCTCGCTGTGCAGCTTTAGGAGCAAGAAGACGGCAAGGGCGGTGAGAAGAAGGGCCAAAGGCGAGGGTCCTCGGGAAACCCTCCGAGAAAACACACTTTGAAGCATCGTGGATGGCTTCAAGGATAGCAAGACGCCCTCTGTCTGGCGCAAGCGAGCTTGCCGAGATGTAAACTAGGCGGGTTCAAAATGCAAATAATCACAAGTAGCCAGATTTGCCCATCAGACAAGAGCCCATACCCTTAATATGGAAAAGCCAGTTCGGTCCGGCAAACTGGATAAATTGAAATCGTCAATGTGAGGCTGATATACATCTCTGTTCCTGCTAAGCAGGCCTGGGCCGCTCCCATTTGCTCATCTTACAGCGTCCCTTCCGCGACAGACTCCAGAGATACAAAATACAACATTTCAAGGTCCACAGCAGCAACCTTGCTGGGTTGCACCTTCCTGAGTGCCGACGACGATGGAATCCGAGGTCTGTGGGAAGGTGCATTGAACCAGTCTGCGTAAGGCGACGTTGAATCGTGAGGTCGGGAATGCCAAGCCACGTAACGAGTGACGTACTCCACTCCGCATTTGGCTGCGCTAAAGGGTTTCGGTCCCTTGCAATTACACGATAGACAGCTTTTTGGTGGTATTAATGGACTCATCGGTGCATGGCCTTAGTACATCAAACGTGATATTTCCCAGGTCCGGGTTTATTAGGGTGATGTAGTCAAAGATTAGATCCTGAAAATATGTTGCCCGGTTCTATCCTCCATGTAGAGTAACATCGCTAAGAGATGCCAATGGGTCTCAGTCGCAGCCCTATCATGTTGGGGATGGCTCTATCAATTGCGGCTTCAAGAACGCTAACCAGGACCATGCTAGTCTCAGGGGTTAACTCAAACCAGCACGCGTTTGCGCCGAAGATGAATGTTTCTACTCTCATCTTTCAACACTTCTGCTACTTGCCATTGGCACCCATCTCCGAACCGCCCCATGGCCCCGGCTTCCTCATCTACGGGTGCCTTCTTCTTAGTACCAACCCAAGGTACACGCTTCCGCAGACGATCCTTGTCAAAAGCCAAGGGCGAAGCGTGGCCGTGCTTCTCCTTTCCCTCCTCCCATTTCGTCGTGATTTCTATCGTTTCTATCGAGTCTTTGAATGGGGTGGGTTTCATCTTCTTCTGCTTCTTCATCCTCGATTTGTACTCCGTGGGCGAAATGCTAGGCATCTTCAAGTTCGTGAAGAAGTTCATCGTCTGTTTCGAGAAAAACGCCCACAGGAGAGCCGGAACCCAGACGGCTAGTGATGGACCAACTGTAGACATGGATGTTAGCCACATGTAGCGAGGCATCCAACCGCCAGAAAAATGGAAAGGGAAGACGCACAGATCTTGGGGTATATCCAGCCGGGCGTGTAGCTGAGATCTCCATCCTCCCGCCTCTGGAACGAGCTGATATTCAGAGCAAAGAGGGATGTGAGGAAAGATATTGGGAGCTACGGGTCACCATGTCAGCAAAAAAAGATTGTAAACGCCCGCATGGTGCATACGTACAAACAAAATGGTCATAATGGTGAACGCCATCAGCGTTCTCCCTTGCTGCACAGTTTCTTCTGACTGGGCAATGGCAATGGCGCTTTGCTCAAGGCCGAGAGTCGCGTTGACCTGCAAATGTAGTTCCGATGTTAGTCTCCCGATTTTACCGCTCCCCCAAAAAGAAACTCACCGCTCCCTCAATCTTCTTAGCAACCTTGTCCAACTCCTCGATGTCCCCAAGGATAGACCTGGCATGGCGATCATTGCTCGCAATACCCACGGGTAATCCCTCCTGCACGCGCTGCTGATGCGTCACGATAACCCGCAGTATGTTAAGCTCGTCGCGGATATCTTTGACTTTTCGGAGAAGGTCCGCTGCCGCGCGGACCGACTTGAGCCTGTTCTCATCGGATGCGGAATTACCACCCCGCTCCGTGAAGTTTCGAAAGAGCTCTGCTTCTTTGATGGACTATTCGGGAAATAAATTAACACGTGGTAGAACCCGAGAGAAATAGGAATCTCTAGAACATACGGCTCGATTAATGGCATCGGAAAAGATCTGGCGAGTCGATCGACGACCCTCCGGCTTCTTAATCATCAAGCCGGCATCCGCGCGTAAGTGTCCGAAGAACCCGACGCAAAAGTCTACGATAAATTTGCTCATCGCGATGGCAGAGTCTGGCTGCGGCTGCGCCCGCTCGTTTCCGGGGATGTTGCTGAGGTAGTTTAGAACAGTAATAGGAACAATGTCGTCGGCGTCGTCGACGCGGTGAGTCGACGACGTAATGATGTATTCTGACAAGCGTTAGACCGTTAGACCTTCGACTCAATCCTAAGGGTGAGTGTTTCAACTCACTCTCATTAATCACCCAGAGCCAGAGTTGATCAACTGTTAGAATCGTCCAAGATTCGCATTCTGCGACATCACCACCAGCATTAAGCTCAGCCGTAACGATCTGATCCTTATTACGACGTCTCCTCTCCTCTTCGGAGGCGTGGTCTCGTTCGAAGTGGTAGTAAAATTCGTCTAGCGTTCGGGTTCCGTGCATCACGACGTTCGTGTTTTCGTAGCACTTTAGGAGTTTTTGGTATTCTTCGCTGGTTGTACCATCCTTCCTTTGCTCGGAGAAGGTGATGTAGGGCATCTATGAGCGAGTTAGCATCGGATTGGTTTGAATTAGCGCCGTCCACTTACGTAGAGAGCAACATGGCATCTGTTCTCTGGAGAATTCTGCTCCGGTTTCTCCAAATGTGAGGAACTATCTGATTTCCTGTCCACGGGATGCTCCACCGATCCGGCCTTACTACCACTCGCCCTACTACCGGTGGTGTGGATAGAAGCCGCCGAACCAGTACGACGCCTAGACTCGGGGAGTTCATCCTCGGATGGCTCCCCTCGAGGCGGCTTTTGCGGCTTATCTTTCCACTTGTCCCCAAGCCACGTCGAGCAACTCGGCTTCATAAACCGAGATTCAAATGACGCATCGGGAACCTCATGCCAACTAGCTCTCAAAAAAGCCTGCAACTCCTCGTGAGCTTCCTGCGGCTCATCATCGTCGATGAAAATCCTCAGCACCAAATCGTTCATCCACTGCAAATTATTCGCTGGCAGATGGATCCACCTGAACGACAGGTCCTCCTCGGAATACGTCTCATCATCATCCTCGTCCTCGTCCCCGTTCTGCATGGCGTTTCGAGCCTGCTCCATGATCTCGTTCGGTCCCGCGTTATATATCACTTCCTTGACGTCCCTGAACCTGCGCAGGAAACCCGATCGGCCGTCCTTGGCATAAAAGTCGATGATGCAGGCGTCGATCTCGGGAAACTCAACCTCGAGCTCTGGCTTGAAGTATGGTACTCGCTCGGCCGATGTCTTGACGATCATCCTGACCATGGGGGGGTCAAGTAAAATGTCTAGGATCTCGTCGTAGCACTCTCGCGAACGTGCAACATTTACTCTCGGCTTCGAGGGACGGGCCTCGCTTTTTGTATTGCTTCCGGCGTCTTCTCCTCCCTCATCATCAGACTTCTTCGCATCCGAGCCGTCCCTGCCTACCTCCATCGAGCCTCTCTTCACACTTTCCGAGTCATCCTTCTCAGTCACCGAGCCACCCGCGTCCGGGTCCTTTGGGCGCAGCAGTGTGCTGCGGTCACCGGAGATCCTCTTGTCCTGTCCCGCATCGTTACTTTCCATAAGTTTGATAAGCTTCTTGACTACGGCTTCGGCCGTCTTTCTCCTCTTATTATCTCCTGGATGGAGCCCCGTACTTTGAAGCAACGTCCGCACTAACTCATATTCGCCATAATAAGCCGCCATAGTTAAGGCGTCCCAATTTGTATCCAAAGGGAACTGGGCAGTCGTCGGACGTTTGCTGTAGAGCAGGAGCAGACGCACAATGTCATGAGTGGACTCGGAACGGGCCGCCCAAAGCAAAGTATCCTCCTCGATATCGTCGGTGCCCCAGTCTATAGCTTTAAGACCAAAAAGCAGTTGCCGTAGCGTGTCCGGGTTCTCCCTGTCGGCGGCGATGTAAAGTGCCGTCTCTCCATCGTTGTTCCGGAGTGCCCTCCTATCTTCCTTCGTCCTATTAAGAATCAACTTGGTCCGCTCACCGTCGTCAATGCGCGCCGACGAGTGCAGTGCTGTCTCTCCGTCTTCGGTTAGCAACGTCGGGTCTGCGCCGTTGTCGAGAAGAAGTTCGACGACGCGTTGGAACCGCCCAGGAGCATCGTCGCCTGTCCTCGTCTCACAGAAACGATCGGTATCCTCTTTTGCGTCGTCATTGATAAGCAAGGATACACGCTCGGACGTGTATCGAGCCGCGACATGCAAGGCGGTTTCAGAATCCTTGTCTCGAGTGTTAACGCCGTCGCGTCGCTGATGCTTAAGAAGCTCTTCGACGATAACGGCGTATCCCTGGCGACTTGCAAGGTGGAGAGGGGTTTCACCGTCGCGATCATGGAGTGTCGTATCAGCCCCGCGTTGGAGAAGGAGTTTGACAATTTCCTTGTGACCGAAGAAGGCAGCCGAATGCAGGGCACTGAGGCCGGATTCGTCGGTGGTGTGGATATCGGCTTTGGCGTCTAACAACATCCCAACGATGGCCTCGTACCCCCACCTGCTGGCACTTATCAGCGGGTTCCATGCGCCAGCATCGCTGATGTTTGGTCTGGCGCCCTTTCGTAAAAGAGCCCGCACGATATCGTCAAACCCATATCGCGAGGCAACCCCGAGCGGCGTCCATCCCTCTCCGTTTGTTATATTGGGTTCCGCCCCTCGATCTAAGAGGAGATCCACGATCTCAGTATAACCATGGCGGGCAGCTATTCCAAGCGAGGTCCACCCATTGGAATCGGCCTTGTCAATATCAGGGTCCCTTTCGAGAAGTCGGATCACTACTTGTTTGTGGTTATTGAGACAGGCGGCCATGAGCGGAGTCCAGCCGTCCTCGTCAGCTTCGTCGACATCGCAATCCCTTGAGAGTAGAAGCCTCACAATCCCGTCGTATCCGACTCGGCTAGCAGCGTAGAGGAGCGTACACCCGTCCCCGTCCAACTTGTTGGGATCCGCGCCCCTATCCAAAAGCATCTGAACAATATTTTCGTAGCAACCATATACGGCCTCCTCAAGTGCTGTCAACCCACTCTCGTCTGTTCTGTCTATCTCCACATCTTCTTCTAGAAGAAGCTTGACAATCTTGTCCTGGCCGTAGCAGGAAGCTACCATGAGCGGCGGCCGGCCGTTGATATCGGGTTCATCTACCTTGACGCCTTTATCGAGGAGCATCTTCAAGATCTCATCGTGGCCATATCTCGCAGCCGTTTCCAAGGGGGTCCAGAGTTCGTTATCTTTGACATCAGCATCCGCGCCGCTATCAAGAAGCAGCCTGACGATCCCCGTATAACCTCTTCGACAGGCCCAATCTAGCGCGGTACATCCATCCTTGTCTTTTGCATTGAGGTCGGCATGGTGCTTGATGAGGAGCTCTATGATTTCGTACCGATGGGCTAGGTGAACTTGGGGCGGGTCTCCGTAGACGGCAGAAACCAGCGCGGTCATTTGCTTGCGATTCCGCGCGTTGATTTGTTCCTTGGTCATGCGGCGCAGGAGCCCAGGAAGCACTTTGAGCACTGTGGTCGTTTCATCTTTCCGCAGTCCGTTTTTGATCAAGATCACCAGAAGGGGCTGGCCGGAGGAGGATCTGACGGCGACATTGGCTCCTCGGTTGACCAACCACGGGATCCTGGCTGGGTTGTTGACGGCTGCGTCTAAAAGGTCCTTATCAAGGGGGGTCCATTCAACCGGTTGTTCAGCAGCCCCATCCGCGTGTTCCTCTACCTTTTCATCCGCGTGTTCCTCTACCTTTTCATCCACGTGTTCCTCTACCTTTTCATCCGCGTGCTCGTCTACTTCTTCATCCGCGTGCTCGTCTACCTCGTCCGCGGCGAGACTCTCCGATTCCTCCGCTACCGCGCCACCCACGGCTCCCGAAGTCTCGGACCCATCGCCGCCCACAGAGTTTCGTGTAGTGGGCGAGTTGGGCTCGGAAGCCGCCTGAGATTCTGGGACTGTAAAGCCTTCGGTGGCCGCTGCCATGTAGGTGGGTAGAGTGTCGAGCTAGAGTCCTCTTCTGCGATACAAATGCTTCCACACAGCAAAGGAAAAAGAAGTCGTCCACTGAAGAGATGGTTCTCATCGACCTCGACTTCACTTAACTTCACTTAACTTGACTTTACCTCGCACGCTCGAGAAGAAAACAAATGTTGGGCAGGGCCCCCTGGTTATTAAAATACGAAGAATAATAGCTGTCATCCTGGGTCAATCGCGCTGGCCGCATGCTGTAAGGCGGCGGCGGCAAGGATAATTAGCGTAGATCCTTCGACCACCATCGGAGCCCCCCTGCAAGTTGCATGCTGAATTGGGGATGCGCTCTCATGCTGACCACACTCGGCACAGGGGTGGAAGCGTTGGCCCAGCGCATGGTCAAGTCTGGCCGAGCCAGCCAACGGGCACTACTCAATCAACTGATCGAAGTCTGGACAATTTAGCTGGGCAGGTTTGAATTTCGAATACTTCGTAGGAGACTCATTCTCAATGAGACAAAACACGCCCATCAATGCTTCCTTATGATGATGATGCATATTAGGTGGTACGTATCCTAGTAAGCAGGTCCCTGAGGACGCATTGGCGTGGGAGAACTATTGTGCTATTGTGGTGTTGCACATGAGAATGATTATATAAGCCAATGTCGATCTTGGTCTCGCGACTTTCATCGTCTTCCAAGATTTCCGCCACTTCGAGTCTTCGACCTTCAACTCGGCACCACTCTATGTCACCACCTTTCAGCCATGGCTTCAAACTCAGAGGAGTCGTCGTCGTCGTCCGACCATCCTTGGTCCGGCGATAACAAGTCAAAATTCCAGGCGTCAGTATTACATCCTAGCTCTCCCCAGACCATCCAACTGCTCGATGTTAACCGGGTTCTCTACAAACAGTAAGGCGATTAGCGAGTACTACGATCCGTGCCAGGAAGCAGCGTCGAGGAGCATCAAGTGCCTACATAGGAACGGAGGCGATCGAACCATGTGCGGCGATTATTTCCAGTAAGTCTGCGAGATCTTTACCATTTAGAAGCGCACCGCATGGAGGGACTTGTCGTCGATCTAGATCCTGGCTCGCTAATGTTCCTCTACCATAGGGCATATCGCGATTGCAAGAAGCAATGGGTACGTTTTGGCCCGGACTAACATGAACACTCCGAATTCGAAAATCCGCCCCTCCAATTCTAACTCTTGTCAACAGCTCGAGAAGCGAAAGGCCGAACGCAAGAAGAACTCCCTCTGGTAAGAGGGCGAGGCAAGGGGCGCACTCGACGCGGATGTGGCAGCCCATTCTAGTTTCTGGGACCCGAAACCGGAACTGGAACCAGGTATACTTTGGGTGCTAGCTGTCCTAGCAAAGAACAATGCTATCACGCGCGGCCGGCGGCCAGCGACATTCGCATCGACCCTGCGCCGCATCTACTCTTTGATAGGGATAGGTGCCATTGCCTCACTGGAAATAAAAGAGGCAATGAGTATTTCACTGTATAATATACAAGGATCTGGATTCGGCGTGCTTGCACTCATCGCAGAGTCACAGAGGGCGTTTGATCAAACCGAGGCGACTCTGTGCAGCTCCACTCTCTGAGTGCATTAGAGCGCTTTACTTCCAGATCCTCCTCGTGCCACCAGGCTCATGTATTATATGTCATGCATACAATCAAATATACCGATCTAGCCAAACTATTTACTGAGGAATAGAAGCCAATTGCTCCAACTGACGATAGGATGGAACTATGAAAGAGCACCTTGCAGTTTTACATCGTCATCCCACCATCCCGGGCCATTATGTAATCAGGCACATGCATGTATCCAGCGTTGTGCTGCTATCCAGTCTTTAACTCAACCCCACCAAAAGATGCCGTTCAAATTGATCCTTTGGGCAGGGAGAGAATTGGAAGAGCTCAAAAACCCCACCATGCGCGACCGCGGCAGATAAACCACCCTTCCCAGGTCCAATATCAATCTGCTGCAGCCCTTGAATGGTTCAAGGATAAACCCCGTAACCCCGTAGTTCACCATGGCTTCACAGCAGCCCCAGCTGAGGAGTGGCGTCGATCTACAGCTCCAATCGGCCTTTAGCGAGGGGAACTGGTCTGCGGTTGTGCGCCTGGCCGACAAACGAGCACGCACTCTAAAAGACCAGTACTATGAGGTATGGGCCGCGTCTTTTTTTGCACTGAGAGCCCGGAATTTGTTCGTTGTCGTTCTGGCTCGTTTTTTCACCTTACTTTACTCTTTTTAAAGTTGTACTCGGGGCTAACTAACGTTCAAAGATCGTAAAAATCGCAGCGGAAGCTCAGCTAGGAGCTCCGGTGGACAAGTCGTCGGTCGTCTCCTACGTGCAGAAGTTGCTCAAGGATGGAACCACGGTCAAGGACGTCGAGAGCCTTGAGCTGCTTGAGTGGGCGTGCCATGACATCATGCCCGAGTCCTTTTTCCTCGAGGCGATTGGACCTCTTCGTGTGAGGCTAGTGAAGTCCCAGCCTAGAGACAAGATCACAGCTATAGATTGCCTGGAGTCCTGCCTGCTTCACTGGGATCTTAGTAGCGCACAGCAAGTATGTCAATATCAATACTTAATTTTTTTTTCATTCTCCCTAGTTCCCCAAAGTGAAAGTTCTAACAAGCGTCTGTCCGACAAAAGATAGCCGCTCTCATCGATAGAACGTTCCCTCAGGAGCACAGGTTCTTCTTCTGGAATATCGTCACCACTTATCTCTTCTCGGTAAGATTACGAGTGTTATTCCCGTTCGTGGTAATATCCGCCTAACTTGGGAGTGCTACATAGCGGAGTGATCAATGCCCAGCAGACAAGCGGAAGCTCTACAGGGAGCTTTCGACCAAGCAAATTCAGAAGGCCGCTCAGGTGGCAGAACAAGTAAGTCTCCGTCCCTCTCACTCACTGTAGTCCTCTTGAGGCTGACGAAATGTAGGCCATTGAAGCCAAGGAGCATAATTTGCCCGTCCGCGGGATCCAGAGTGAGGAGGAAATTCTACTCTTGTTTGACATGCTAGCCTCCCGGGATGACCCGACCGAACTCAAGCAGGCCCTCAAAGGGCCTCTACTCAACCCGATCAAGGAACTGCGACTAGGGAGGAAAGAGGTTCTCCTTCGCACTCTCGATTTCCTCAAGGAGAAGGAGGAATGGGAGACGCTCTACACTATCGCCAAGGATGCCCTGTCCGAGAAGGAAGAAAGGGACTACCAGGTTCTTCCTTCTCTCCTCGCTTGCGATTGGAGGATTTGGCAGCACTTTATGGAGGCGGCAACCCATGTCATGCTGTCAGATATACAGTAAGTATTTGTCGACCAGTGACAGACAGAGAGAGAGAAAAAGGAGAAAGGGGGGGTTGGCTGTATGTGTGCGCTAACATTACTCTCAGGGTGATCGAGGACGTCACCTCGCTTTTCGCTAGTCATTCGAAAGCGACGGACCAGAAACCGGTATATGTGAGAACATTGGCACTGGTATCTGTGCTCATCTCCTTCGAGTTTGGCGATATCGGACAACCGGCGATGACTTTGAAACCTGCAGACTCTAGGCGAGTTTTGAAGCTGGTTAATTTCATAGAACAGCAATATAGCAGTCCGGCGTGCTTCGAGGACATTAAACGGTTCGTGGAGAGGTTGAGCACCCCGGAGCTGAAATACCTTGCCTACGAGCGGTTGCCCGAAATTGCGGACGAGGCTGAGGGCTACAAGTCGGTGGCCTTGAGGGTCTTGACGTTGAAAATACGCTACCTAATACAGACAATTCCTCAAGGAGACGGCTTTTTGCAGGACGATCTCAAGAACGACGGGCACGGGCGGAACATCGATTGGGCAACGATCGCTGTCGATAGCCTTTCGTTGTATCGAAAGTTAGAGGACGTTGACGCTGGGGATGAAGAAAACGAGCGAGCTCGACAGGACTTCCTCCCAGAATTGGCTGTTCTCTCGGCGGTCAGTCTGCTGAGGAAGGGCGCATTCGAGAAGAGGGATGCGTTGGTGGGGCAAGCGTCAGGCCAGTCCACCGGCTTCCGAGACCTCTTGACAGCGGCGACGATCCTAGAGCACCAACTGCAAAAGACGCCTAAGCACAGTGGCATCCTGTTCCTACTAGTCAGAATATACCTGGGGATCGGATGCGCCCGGAGAGCCGGTGAAGTATGGAGTAGCCTCGACGTGAAGCGAACGATCGTCGACTCCCTGGCGCCCATCTTCTTCGATCGTATCAGCGGCATCGCGCCGGACGTGGCATCGGGACCTCTCCTCGCAAGCAGCGTGCAGTCGCATTACCTTAACTCGTTGAGGTTGCGGATGCCTCGCCGGCTTGCAGACGCTTTTGATTGCGAGAGTTACTCGAGCATATTGCAGATTCCGGAGAATACCGGGAAGCTGAGGACGAGTTGCACGATGGCTATGGGGTATGTGGAGGAGCTGCGGGCGCAGAGGGCTATGGGGCTTCGACGAGGAGAAGGCCTGAACGCTCTTTTACTGGGTAAGATGATGGCGAAGTAGGTCCTTTTCGGGAGCTAATGAAGACTAACGGGTACGTTGCGTAGGTGAGATTACGGATGAGACAGAACTCTCTGTCAGGATCGACTATGGATCCTTCCCGAACCTTGGAAGCAGCTTTCAGCCTCCCCTCCACGAGGTCCTGTCCGTGGGACCAAGGCTTTCGGTAAGAACGCATCCTCTCCAGAAACGGAAAAGAATCACAGCCTAACAAGCTTTCTAGAATAACCGATCCCACCTTTCTCTCCTCGCAGAGCAATACTTCTCCCTCCTAACTTTCAAAGCCCCAACAGCCTACAAACCCTCCAACCCCGCCCTCGCCTCTACAGCCGACCACACTCTCATCATCGAGTCCCTCTCGCGCCTCGCCAACTCCTTCAACAGGTTCCTCCGCGGACCCAAAACCGAACTCCTCCCCCACGAGCGCATCTACTACAACCTCTTGTCGGTGCTGTCGTCCCTCACCCTCGACGCGGTGAATTCCATCCGCTCGCGACCCGTCATCGAGTCACTTCCGGCTCTCGTGGCCTCGGTCACGGATTCCTTGGAATTACTTCTGGACCTAGCGGCGGCGGGACAATCTGATGCGTCTGCGTCGGAAAGCATCCTGGGGACACTCACCTCGCTGATTCCGATATCATACGTCCGCGACGCGGCTAGTGCCGTCCGGGCGGCGACGAGCTACGTGCAAGGCTACCATGATCGGCAGACCGCGAGGGACCGCTCCGGCGAGACGGGGCTTCGAAAGGAAGTCCTCGCGGATATCAAGAAGCTGGACGGCTCCGCGAAGGAAGCCCTCAAGGAGGCGCAAGGGTGGATCGCGTCTTCCAGGAGAGATGTCGCTAAGGCTGGGTTCGTGCAGCAGCTGGCTCGCTTCGTTAATGAAGTACCCGAGGAGGGGAGTGATGAGAAGTTGGAAGAGGTGGTGAAGAAGGTTATCAGGAGGGAGGGGGACGGAGAGGTTAATATTTGGGCTAAGAGGGTTGTGGATGGGTGGAGGAATAACCTGGACGGATGGATGCAGGTAAAGTGGGAGTAGAAAATAGAGATTAGAGAAAAAAAAAAGCAAACGGTAGAGAGGGAGAGGGGATTTCGTAGACATGCGCATGAAAAGGGTCGCATGAAAAGGGTCAATATTTCTTGGTTAAGAGGGGAAAAAGAAGGGTGGATCTGCTCAGACACGTCTGTAGAGCAGCTCGTTCATTATTCTACATGATAAAAACCATGGTGTTGTTCCTAGAGATTCCGTCCATCCCCATATGCCGTAAATGTACAATTCGTTACCCAAACGCAATGCAAAAAAAAAAGGAAAAGAAAAAAAAAAGACCCAACCTCGAACATGCAACATAACGCTATCCTTGGCTAAATCGGAAGCAAAAAGATGGCGAAGAAGAAGAAGAAAAAAAAAAAAAAGGAGAAGCAAGACATGAAGCTCAAGTCACAGACTATTCAGCCCATCTCACTTCGTCCCAAGAAAAAAAAAAGGAAAAAAAAATTGAAGCACAAAGGGGCTACCTAGTAATTCAAGCTCTTCCTCCTTGCCTTCTTAGCCATAGCCTGGGCCCTCTCCTCCCTCAAGGTAACCCAGATCCAAAACCAGCTGACCATCTCGACGAAGGCAAAAGTGAAGAAGACGCGGTTCTTGAGGCCGTCGCCGCCCCACGAGGAGGCGCTGTAGCTCGGGTTGTGGGCGTGGGCGGAAGGGTGGGCCATGCGGCCTCGTGGGTTCTGGGAGGGCGAGGCGTAGAGGGGCGAGGAGGAGGAGAAGATGAAGGAGTAGAAGCTGAGGGCGAAGGCTATGGCGAGGCGGATGGGAGCTATTTTGGAAGGGAAAGAGTTCTTAGCTTGGTGGTCGCCAAATTCAGGGAGCGTGGGGGAGGGATGTACCTTGTGTGGCCCAGTGATGGAAGAGGCTAATCTCCTCGGGGAGACTGAGAGTAACGAGGTCGGTAATTCCGATGATGGCGAGGATCACGGCAAGGAAAGCGAGAGGTGGTGACTGGGACTCGAAGCTGCGGGCGTAGGGCTGAACAAACGGGTTTTGTTAGTTGAAACAGAAATCACGGCGCGTGGGGCCGGGAGGAGAAGAAAAAAAGGGGGGGGGGGGGGGGGTTGGCTATACCATGCCCATGGCCTCGCCGAGCACGTAGACTATGGCCTGGTCGGCTATTGTACCCGGGTTTGTGAGGAAGAAGAAGCCTAGGGTTATGTGGAAGAGGGAGATGGAGGTGATGATTGTGCGGGCGGAGATGAGCGCCATGGTGGGCGGGAGCTTCTGTTTTGCACAGGAGGATGTTTCGGTGGGGATCGCGGTGTGAGAGTGAGAGCTGGAATAGACAAAGGGCGTCGCGGGTATCCAGGGTGAAAAGGCCGGAGGTTGTTGTGTTGTCCCGATATGCGCGATGGGCGTCCTTGTTGGGATCAAGATTTGCGATTTGATCTTGATAGGGAAAGATGGAGCCAAGTTGAAAGTTGTCGAAATTAGGTTGCACTCAAGGGGAGGATACAAGGATACAATGGAACATGTACTGCGGAACGTGGAATGTCACGGGTACAATGGTACTTGGCGCGTGAAACCGAGTCGCGGGGTTTCAGAGAAATTAAAGCCAGTTCAGGACCAGCAAGGCCAGCCTAGGGCTTGGCATGGTTTTTGTGGGCTGCGGCAGGCTACACTAGGACAGGACCAAAATTGGACTAGGAATTCGTGGGGCTGTTGGTGACGGTCAGACAACGGTCGGCCAGCTGGTAACAGACTGCCCCTGAAACGGCGCTTTCATTCCCAAGAGTTTAGCGGTCAATTAGTGCTAGCTTATCACTTATCACCGTGACGGCCCGCTGATGTTGTCGTTGTCAGCACAAAGTCTCAATCCAGGTACCAGGGCCATGACGGGTATTTCTACATTGCGCCTTGAAATGCGTGAGCGTGAACCTGTCACTTTTTTAAGACTTGATCGTTTCATCACATGTTCTTGGGTCTATGTAGTTTAGTAGTTTAGACAAGGTCGCTAGCTTGTGATTAGATTATTCTGGATGTTTGCATCAACGGTTTGGGATATCAATGATGGAGGGTTCAGGCTGGTACCCCTCACCAAGACACTCACTGCTCATTCAGCATTCAGATGCTCCCTACCTCGGTAGTGCTCATAGCGGTCAACGTCAATACCAATGTGATACGATGCTGAAGACAAATCGTGAATGCAAGGGAGAGACTGCTTTTTGATATCAAACGGTACGAAATGCCGTTCGATGCCAATGTATGACTCGGGAGCTGAGGCTAAGGGAGACGCAAGGTTGAAGCCCATCCCATCCCTTGCTGTAATCAATCACTGATAAAATCCCCACCTGACAAGCTCCCCTCCAAGCCAAGTCCCCAGTCCTCGTCTTCCCCGCCAAGAATTTCCAACTTCCCAAACACCAAAGCTCAGAGAAGAAGAGACTAAGAATCCTCCCAAGACTAAAACCGTCCAAGACTTTAAAAAAAAAATCATCCGAGCTCCACTTCATTCCAGCTGACTGGCATCTGCCCCTCCAATCGCAACCCACTCAACCCACTCAATCCTCAACGCTCAATCCGCCATTGATCTCTCACTCTTTCTCATCGCTCATCCCATCCCGTCTCATCGCCAAGACACAAAAACCACCTCCCTCACCCCGTTCAACACCCACCGCCCTCCAATCTTGTCCCCCGCTCCCCCTTCCGCCTCCCACCGCCCGCCTCCGTAATGGCCTCCGCCAATCCCCCCTCCGACCTCGACAAGCCCCGTCACATCCGCTACTGGCAACGCTGTCACCGCTCCCTCCTCCCCATCTACTACACGCCCCAAGACTCCATCCGCCTCACCCTAACCTTCTTCATCATCTCCGCCCTCGACCTCTTATCCGGTCCCTCCTCCACTTCCTCTTCCCCTAGCACCAACCCCCCCCTCCTCACCCCCGCCGACCGCAAATCCATCCGCTCCTTCGTCCTCTCCCTCCGCCACCCCGCCGGCGGCTTCGTCGGCTCCCCAAACCACCTCCTCCCCAGTCCCTTTTATCTCGGTCTCAAAGGCGGAGGATTAGGACAACAATTCGGAGGCGGCAGCAGTACTACTCCCCATCGCCATCATCATCACAATCGTCACCACCCGCACGCCCACGACGCAAATCTAGCAGCGACATCCTTCGCTCTTCTCCTCCTCGCCCTCGCCGCTGAAGACGACGAATCAGCGCGCACTGCCTTCGCCCACGTGGATCGCAAGGCTACCTTGCGCTGGCTCAGGAGGCTGCAGCGCGACGACGGGAGCTTCGGGGAGGTGGTGGATTCCGAGGGGAGGGTCCAGGGCGGGAGGGATATGCGGTGTTGTTACCTCGCGGCGAGCATAAGGTGGTGTTTGAGGGGGGACGTAGAGGAGGGCGATGAGGAGTGGGTGGAGGATATTGATGTTGAGGGGCTTATTCGGCATGTGCGGCAGGCCCAGGTCAGTTTCTTTTCATTTTCATTTTGTCTCTCATTTATTTTATTTATTTCGCTATCATATTTCATTTTTTTCTTTTCTCTGGGCGACTTGTAGCTTTTAAAATATTGTGTGCTCGGCATATTCTGACTTGTAAAAAAAGACGTACGATGGCGGCATGGCAGAAAGCTCCCAGCACGAATCCCACGGTGCGTTCCCCCCTCACTCAATTCTTATTCCCCTTCCTTAGATCCTGAAGTTTTTTAAAAAAAATAGCCGGCTATGCCTACTGCGGCGTCGCCGCCCTCTCCCTCCTCGAGCGCCCGCTTGCTGAGAGCTCCACCCGGCCGCGGCCCGCGCTCCACGCCGGGATCCCCAACATGCCCGCCCTCGTCAAGTTCCTTGCGTGTCGCCAATTCGCCTACATCGAGGCCCCGTCCGCTTCTTCGGACGATGATGAGGAAGACGACCCGGAGACGGGGAATTACATTGATGGACGGCCTGGTTCCGTGCCTTGCGGTGATGAGCTTTGCGTTGGTTATAATGGCCGATGGAATAAGAACGCGGATACCTGCTACTGCTGGTGGGTAGGCGGCACTCTCCAGGTATGTTTCCCCCCCACCCCAAACTCTCGTTTTTGTTCTTCCCTTCCATAAAAAACTAAAACCCTACCCCCCTCAAAGATCCTCGGCCACCTCGACCTAGTCAACAAGCCCGCCTCCCGCCGTTTCATCACCTCCAAAACCCAGCACATCATCGGCGGCTTCTCAAAGTACCCCGGCGGCCCTCCCGACGTCTACCACGCCTACCTAGGCCTAGCCGCCCTCGCCGTCCTCGACGAGTCCCCTCCCGAGGATCGGCAGCTGAAAGAGTTTGATGCTGAGCTTTGCGCTAGTTTGGATACGGTGAGCAAGATTGAGAAGGCTAGGGCGGGTCTTATTAGGCGGTGACATGGAGACGGGCAATCCAGGGGAGAGGTTTGAAAAAAGAGTCTTTGTTCAAAGGGAATTAGAATAAAAAATGGATAGGTTAGGAGTAAAAACGGTGGTATCTCGGTATATGATACAGCTGCTAGGAACAGGAAACCCCTAGAGCAACGAAACGGAACAAAAGGAAAGGGGGACATAGATAAAAATAAGGAAGGGAACCCAAAAATTGAATATCCCAAGAAGGAAGAAAAAAAAGTCGCCGTCCATAAATGCCTTCGTCTGCCGCAAGCGTGTTGCTCTCTCATTAGCCGCAAAAAGAAAAGAAAGAAGGAGAAAGAAAAAAAAGAGCCAAGTTTCATCGAGGGTGTGTTCCTCCAGCCCATTACCCAAGTCCAAAGTTTGCTGTCCCTTCATACGACCATTAATGCCTCTCAGGCTTTTCTCTTCTTATCCTCACACTTCGCCCGTCGGAGACTTCTTCTTCCCGAGAGAGGCCCACTACTCCTTTGGAGTTGCCAACCCCGTAATCCTCGGCGCCGGCGCAAGGGTCCCCCCTCTAATCATGTCTGGCACCGGCACCCCATCATCAAAGATATGCTCTTCAATCTTCTCACCAGGACCCCGAATCACCGGACTAAAAACATCCACCTCCTCTACTTCCTCTTCTAGATCCCTCTCCTCCTCGTCATCCTCATCAACCTCCTGAATGGTAATCTCACCAGATCTCCGCCCCAAGCCTGAAGCGCTCGCACTCCTCGAATGACTTCCCGATCCACTCCCTCTGGATAGGGGCGGACCACCCACCGGACCGCCACTCATATTCAGCATGGGACCCTTGAACAGGTTCCTCTTCCGCTTGGCAAACATCACCCCGCCAGCACCGAACGGGTTCGGCGATCCGGGGGTCTGCATCCCGCCGCCGCTCGGGGGCATCCCTTCGTTGAATATTCTCAGCGGCGCGGGCGATCCGCTGCCGCGCACAAGCCGGATGTTGGAGGGGATGGAGTTGTGCGTCGGCGTGGCGGGCAGGACCTTGACGCTGTGGTGGGGTGAGGTGCCGCGGTGGTGAAGCGTCGATTTGGACATGGTTGTTGAGATAGATCCGTTGGAACTCGTGGATGACGCCTTGGAGTGAGAATGGTGATGGTGGTGGATCGAGCGAATCGACGAGACGGACGAGGACGTGGATTTCCTACCTCTCAGCCCCGTCGAGGATCGTCGCATGGCCGATCGGGGGGTCAGGGGAGACGGAGACAATGACTGCCGCTTGTAACTCTGCGACGAAGGCACCCTCGCACTAGGAGGCGGCGACGGAATCCCCAGAGATGTAGGGCTAACCATGGCGCTGGAGATGGGCAGCGTAGGATTTATTTTCGGCAGCTGCCCGTTGGCGACCAGTCCCGGCGGTAGCACGCTCGTGGCGGGATTGGGACTGACGCTGGCGTTGCTGTGGGGGTATTTCCCCGTCTGGGGCCTCGGGCTAGATGTCTCAGAACCCCCTTTGCGGTTGCCAGCCTTGCCGTTCTTGCGCAGGTCCGGGGTCGAGAGGCTGCCCTTTCGGATATGCGACTTGCTCCGCCGAGTATTTTCGAAGATCCAGTGGGTCCAGTTCTTCCACGTGGCGAGTATCGCCTGCGACGGTCGTTTGCGCACTTTTTGCGGTGGTCGCGCGGCGTCTGAGCCGCCCTGCATCTGGTGTAGGTGTTCCGACGTCGTTACAAGGTGCAGCGTGGAGCCCCTGGATCTCGCACTTCTCAGGATCCCTTCCTTGGGCGGCGGTATAGGGCGGCGAGTCCTCGAAGTGCTTGCGGACCGGATAGAATCTTTATCTATAGGCGGCGGCGGCACCTCCCCTTCCGACTGGCTGCCGACCTTGTTGTCACTACCAGCCTCAGCAAGCTGCGGCAAATCGGGCACGCGGTAGTCGGAGTAGTGCGCGCTACGTCTCTCGCTCCTCCCCCGCGTCCTAGGTGGATCGCCCACCCGCACGTAATTACCAACAGTTCCCTCTTCGCGCACGTCGTGTAGCACAGGGGTCATGCGTTCCAGCCGACTCGACGCTGCCGATAAGCGTCGTAAACTGCGCAACTCCGCCTCCTTCTCCTTCCGCTTCCTCTCTCTCCGCCTCGCCTTACGCTCCTCTTTTTCGAGCAGCAGAGTCCACCATCCTGCTAGCACATCACATCTTTGCGCGAGCACACTCTCGATAACGGAGTCGATATCCACCCCGGCGCTTCGCATCCGCTGTAGGACCTCTTTTTCAAGGGCGGTCGAGAACGGTGCCGGTTGTTGGAGTTTGAGGATAGCTTGCTGATTGGGGGCATGTTCAGAGAGAAAGGGGTGGTTCAACACTTCGGATAGTGATGGGCGCAGGAGTGGTCGCTTAGAAAGGAGCAACTTGATTAGCGAAAGGGCATCGGGTGGGAGGTGGTCAGGGTATTTCGGTTCCTCCGTCAGAATCTTTGTCCTCGTTACGTTATCGTCGTCGTCATCGAAAGGCAGCTCGCCGCATAGGAGCGCGTACAGAATAACACCTAAACTCCATACATCAACCTTTTCACCAGCATACTTTTCTCCCTTGAGCATCTCCGGTGCCGAGTAGCATATCGTGCCGCAAAACGTCTGCAAATGATTCGCCCTGCCCTCGTATTCGCGCGTGAAGCCAAAGTCAACAAGCTTTACGTTTTCGTTCTTGTCGAAGAGGATGTTTTCGAGCTTGAGGTCACGGTGGACGCATGACTGCATGTGAACGTAGGAGACGGCGCCCACGAGTTGGGCGAAGATGCGTTGGACTTTCGGTACCGGAAGAGGGCCATGTTTGAGAAGGTAGTTGTATAGTTCGTCGCCTGGACGGGGTCAGCATCCGCGACTCATGAGAGTTGAGGCAAGCCAGTAATACCTGGACAGTATTCCAACACCATCCACACCAAAGATTCCGTCACTATTACCTCGTATAATCTCGCAATATGAGGGTGAACGAATTGTCGGTGATGGTGGATTTCACGCGCGAGATTCGAGTCGCTCTTGTTGGCCGACTTGAGGACGACCTAGGGGGCGGAACATGATCAGTGTCTCGATGCGGGCAATGCCTCTCGGGTTTTGGCATACCTTGGAGCCATTGGTGAGTTTATGGTTGGCGAGGTAGACCTTTCCGAAGGATCCTTTTCCGATTAGTCGCCCAAGAGTATAGTTGCCGACCGACTTGAGATCTTTTGTCGAGAATTCACTACAACATAACGCCGTTAGCATCTTCCGATTTCCCCGGGGGAATCCCGTTGGGACAGTTTCGTGTAGTGCTAAGCTAGCACGATGTTGAAAGCTCAAGACTCCGCAAGTTGAGAGGGTAAGGAGAGAGACATACTCGAGGAGTTCTTGGTACGAATGCGCAAGCTTTAAGCTCAACAGTTAGCAATGCTTCTGGAGCACTTCCAACACAGACCCGTTCAGATCATCCCGAGTCCCAGAAACAAAACGAACCTTGGCCTTTCGTCCCGAAGCCTCTGGTCTCCCCCTTGCTGGTTGCATGCCTCTGCAAAAACCACCGAGTCCACAACTCTACTCCGGATATGTCACTTCGGAGCAAGGTGTGGGAGTATCGTTCAGGGCACGGCGCCGGTAGGAATATCGGGTCGGGAAAGGTGCGCTCGTGGGAGGGAGATGCGAATATGTAGTGTGGGCGTCGTCGATGCAGAGCGAAGTTCGGGTCGTTGGGGATTGGATAACTAGGCGTCGTCATGCGAGTCGATTGAGGCAAAGTCGTGGAGCCTATGATCGTCGGAATAAAGCAAAAAATACGTGGGTTCAAGAAAAGCAGTTGAAGAGCAGAAATGAAACAGAAAAAGACTAGTGTACAATCTCTAGACAAGGAAAAATCAATCGTCGCTTCGATGTTCGCAGTCGTCGTCGTCGGCGGCTCGTCTCGTGTCAAATCGTACATAAAATTACCGACATCAGATGAATAACGTCGCAAAGGGGGGGCCACTGGTCGGAAGGAATCGATTGTTGCTTTTCTCTTTTCGGGTCCCTCGTTGTCACTCGTGATGGCTTTGCCTTCCGGTCGTATTCTTCACCTCCGAGTGTCCTGGTCGAGCTCGTCTGCGGTGAGGAATCGAAAAATTGAGGCTAGAGCAGGAGGTTTTGGGGATCAGTCAAGTGGTGTCTTGCTCCTTCCACTTGCAGCCACAGGTACGACCAAGGAGTTCTAGTTGGCTTCCTGCTTTGGGAGGAACGATAGAGGCAGTGGTTAGCGTGCTAATTTGGGAGCAGCGACCGAAAACACACTGCTAAGCAGTCTCCAAGCACTGATTCCCTGTACCTCTTAGAAGGTACCTGTGGAGCTAAAGTCATATTGCAATGTAATAGCGGAATGAGAAGTACCCTCGGAGCGCAGTATCTGAAGTACCTTTACTTGGACTTGACCTCCTGGACCCTGCATCACCCCACAGTATCAAGAATGATCATCAGTTTCCTATACACTGTTCCCACAGCGGTGCACAGACCCCGATACAAGAATCCTCTCCATGATGCTATGAGCTATTAGGTATTTTCAACCGATGTCACAGAGGAGCCAGTCAAGTGCCATCAATCCGCACAGTATGCACGATCCTATTCCGCAAATTAGGTCGCGTCAACTTGTTTGTCACTTGTCACTTGCGCCATCTAGATTAGTAGATGGAAGGTGCGATGACGATGTGAAGCTATCGCCGCGACCTCCGGAACTGGTCGCTGGTTGGACACAGCCCTTCATGTCCGTCATCAAGTAGCCATGGATCTTGAGATTGTGGGAGGGCTGTTCACCTCAAGCGGGGATATAAAATTGGAAGCTCCTTAAGAAGACAATCATGTCAATATAAAGAGGGCAAAAAGGTTCCCTCCCTCTATGTCCGTATGGACTCCAGAATCCAGCTGAAAACAACCCGATTTTATATCCCTCTTCAAAGACTCCAACCTTGCGAAACTATGGGCGAAGTGGTGCCGTCACTTGCCGCCCAAACCAAAATTCTTCCTTTCCGACGTCATGGTGTATGAGCCTTGGGCAAGCAACATCGAGATGCCAGTCCTCAGAAGCTGGCGAACCCACCCGACCTGCTCCAAACCCTATCTAAAAGATATATACGGAAGCCGGATATATCTCTGTACATTTCCAGCAAACCCTCTCCGGGCATACAATGATATTGTCGATCTGAAACTCTCCTCTCAGGACTCCTTGCGACAGGAACGAGGCAATGGCGAGTCTCGCAACCCAGTTTCCGTGTGCTCTCACAACTACATTGCCGGTTTGGCAGTCCCGCAGCTCGTCCCATGACTCGACAGAAGTCATCCGTGTATCGAACCTCTCGTCTGGTTGGTGTGTGCATGTTGTTTGGGGACGGAGCTTTGATACTTTGTCATCGCGAAGAGCTTCGATGATATCGACATCCCCAATCCATCGCCCAGCTTCGCGAATGGAAATCACTGACTGCATTCTGATTAACTGCATATCTCGGATGCCATCTGCTCCGCGCTCCTCGACGGACCTTTCCCAGTTTGTGAATGATAGGTGTAGAGATGTTGAACGGAATGCATCATCAGGTCTGCCGTCGAAGATACTGTTGTTGATTACTCTCCAGGAACTCTCATTCGGGCGAGATACCACAGGATCATTGACGGAAGAAAACATTACGAATCCGGGACGCCCAATGTTTCCCAGGACTTGGACGACTGCATTTTTCTTACAATCTTCAAACGGGTCGCAAACTAACTGAAGGGAGAATTAGTGACTGTCATCCAGGGAGGCGGTGGGAACGACACCGTGCAGTCGTACCTTTGTGGGGACATAGATGGAATTCCCAATGGATATCCCGCAGATGTTAGGCGGGACATAGATGGGCCGCACATTATAGTCCGAGATGAAGTATGAGAGAATCCCCATTGTTACCCGAAGGCCTGGGCTGTCGAGGCTTTCGTAGTCTAACGGGCTGCCAACTTCAATTTCCCAGAGATCTCGCGCCCACTCTGCATCGACAAGAGGCGACATTAGAGTTTGGACTCGAATTATCGGCCCGGAGAGTTGGTTGAAGACTATTTCGTGAGCATATTCGAGTAACGCCAGCGTTTCTGGCACAATGTCTCCCTCCCATATCCCGATTTTCAAAAGGTCATTCTCTAGTGCCCAGCACAAGTCCTCTAGGTCAATACTCGGCACGGTCCATGAAGGTATCGCAGCTTCGGACTTGACAAATATTGCACCGAACTCCAGGTCTCCGTACCATAGTGCCATGTCGACTTTCGTATTGCCATACCACCGTTCGACACGTGCTCCATTATTCAAAAACTGCACGGATGAGCGATTACTTCTATCGTGAGGATTTTCACCGCGGTGATGGTTTCGTGGATGGGGATTCCGACGAGACTGAACGCGAGAAGATCTTCGAGGAGGGACGGCTCCTTGGGGCGCTTCGCCTGGGAAAGGATATACCCAATCTTGGGTCCACCCGGGACGAGGGCATCGGATCACGCTCTCCACAGCCCCCGGATGCTGGCTGAGATATCGGGATGCCATTCGCTGTAGAAAGAGTATTCTCGCATCCGAATGCTTCAGGTATTTCAAGAAAACGTTGTCCTCCAAGTAGCTGAACATTGGGCGAGGGGGGTTCGCGCTCTCCCTCTCCGGGATGAATTTTGGCCGGTTCATACCGAGATTGACAAATTTTGCACATGTATCTGGGTCGCGGACGTACGCGCTGCATGCCTGAGCTAAGTGCTGCAACGATTCAACCGACTGGGCCATGAGAGTGAGGACTCGGGCTACAAGAGAAGTTTGTTCCCAAGGTATCCTCCAAAGCCGAAGGATGCAACCCAGGGTGACGAGCATCAGTTCATCGAAAGAAATGAGAGCCGGGTCACTTCCTAGTGATCCTTTGCTCAAAACGGGATCGCCGTAGAATTTGAGCTGCGCAAGAGAGAGCGACCAAGTTACGCCCGTTGTTGGGGTTGTTGCGGATAGAGAGCATCCCAGCGTTAAGATGCCTCCAGGGTTTACAAGGCTGTCTTTCATACAAACCTCGACGTTTCTAGTTCCGAACACGTGCATATCGGGGTATATATGCCACGCGGCAAGTCCAAGTAAAGAAGCCCCATCGTGAACCTCTTGAGGGATACCGGTCACGAGCCTCTCCATCACCGTCAGAGCCTTTACCCAGGCCTCGATAACGCTCGAGTAAAGCGTCTCCGAGCGGTCGATGGAGAGTCCGACGTTGCCAAGTATCAGACGAAGCTGAGTCTGTTCTTTCCTCATGATCACATCCGCCGTCTGAAGCCATGCCCTGGCGCTTGTATCCCACTCTGCGAGCTGGGCTCGCGAGATGTCCTGCTGAGCGGCAGCCGTCGCCATCGAAAATGGGAGGGACTCCCCCTTCTCCAATTGCTCAGCGATGAAGCCACGCCTCTCCCGCACGAGCTGGTCCCATATCGACACAGCCTCTGGCGGGTCCCACATCCTGGCTAGCATGCTAGCCAGGAGATGGATGTGAAGCGCGCCTCCGCTAGCGGTCTCCGAAGAGGTAGCCGCAGCCCAGATCGAAGTCGCATCAATGCCTGCATATGGACCGAACATCGAGCTGGCGAACTTGGTCGATTCCTTGTCCGCCGCCGTTTTGGAGATCACGGATACCCGCTCGCCGTAGGCACTCAGCAGGTTTGGCGTTTCGGGGCAGACGCCCTGGAAAAGGGCAGCCAGGCGGCGGGCCGTAACGTGGCTCTTGCCACTTTCGGCGTCATGTTTGCGTCTGCTGGATAAGAGGGCCCCGATCGGCTGGTACTCCTTTGGGGCTTCATATTTGACGAGGCAGAAGTCGAAATTGATGTTTGCCGCCGCGACGGTGACTTCATTGGTCGCGCTGGCAAGTGCGGCTTGCAGTCGTCCAATCTGCGTTTCTGCCATAAAGTTGGATGACTGAAGGAACGTTTACGCCACGCAGACGGTTATTGTTGGGTCAAGGGCGAGGAGCGAGTGCAAGGCAATAGACGTGGAATTAAATCCAAGGTTGTTGGGGAGGAGAAAGATCTGAGAGGAAGGTTGAGGATACATCTGCCGGGCAAGGCTGTGTGTTGGGCACACTTCAGCACCGCCTTGATTCCTGACCGGGGCCTTTCGTCAAGTTAGGGCGCAACCAATGCGCCAGGGATTGGCATATGCATAATATGCCAGTGGTCTAAGGCGGTCAAATAACGAAATTCGCCATCATCTCACCTGAGTCTGCGGGAGCAAAACAAGGCACAAGAACCGATCTCGTCTAATTATCTCAACTAAGGAAATATTTATTTTCCTCCCCTGCTAAGAAAGACGGTTAGTGCTTCTCGGCGAATTTTAAAGAAGTTGAAGAGATGGATATAGGGCAGCTGGGTTCGATTTTATAGATCGCATGTTTTAGGGTTATTGGCGGACTTCGAGCCAGAGCGAGTGATATCATCAACAAAGCAATATAGAAAAGAAACTCGTCTCTTCATTAGGTATATGTCCATCCCCCTCAGGTATCAAAAAGGCATCGAGGCCGGGAGTGAGGTCGGTGACCCTCACGCCAAAACCCTCATATCCCTCCCCACCCTCTCACTCTCCAAAACCAACGGCCCACCCCCCGGCCCACTCGAATCCAAACTCAACGTCACCCTCGCCCGATCCGCAATAACCCTCACCACCTCCCCGAGATTCTTGAAATCTGTCTCGCAGTGCGTCCCGACGTGCGTCTGCTCGCCGTTGTCACCGCGAGTGCCTTCGAACTTTACTTCGCGTATGTCCACGGAAGGGTAGGGAAGCCAGCCTTCGCGGAGCGGCGAGAGCATCAGGGGCATCTCGATGGGGTCTGAGTTTTCTTCGCAGTTGGCGGGGATCCGGATGTGGCCTCGCCTTCGGCCGCCGATAAGCCAGGTTTCGGGAGGAGCTGTTACTTCGAAGCTTACTTCGCGGGCTCCCGTGTCGGTGGTGCCGCTCTTGGCTAGGACTGTCATGTCCCACTTACGGGTCCACCGGAGGTGAAGACTCGAGGGGAGGAGTTGGTTTATACACGCCGTCGGAACGCCGTCGTATTCTTGCTGAGCGAGGAAGGGCAAGTCGACGTTCAGCTTGATATCTGCCGTCACAAGAACGGGGACGGGCGGTATATCGACCGGTATCAACAGGGACCGAGCTGACGACCCGTCCGTGGGACGCTCGAGGGAGAGCGTCTTGTTCTTCTTTTGCCATGACTCGAAGAAGGCGATAATGTCAGAGACGCCAGTAGTCTTTGACGAGCCATGCTGATCGACGCCTCGGAGTTCCTGCTTCCAGTTAATCCCCGTCAGGAAACCTGTATGTACCGCTCCTGTCAGCGCCGTCCTCTCGAGGTCGTAGGCTGTGATTTTTTGACGCGCGTGTCGTATGATAACAGGTAGAAGAAGCCTCGAGAAGCGGCCCACATCGTTCTCTCCTAGGGCTTCCTCGAGGGACGAGCGCAGGAGAGCATCGACTTCCTCGCGCAATTCACTGTAGTGTAACTTTAAGTACATTGTAGTTTTAGTCTTCGGCCCAGGCTTGGCCTTCTTGCGTGTAATCTTGTATAGCAGGGTCGCCGGCTGCTTAGGGAAGACGAGAACGGGAGCGGCGGGTGGGATACCAAAGTGAGACTCGAATATCTCCGAATCCACTAGCTCACTCTTGAATAGCCTCAGGGGACTCGAGCTAGCCGTTGATACGGTGAATCGAGAATAGAGCGCATGGTGCTTAAAGACATCCTGGACGTTCACTCCAAGGGCCAGCGCAATGGGTACCGATGCCAACTTGGTGCAGCGGAAGACCCCATCTTTGGTAGCATAGCTCACCTCGAGCCTGACCGTGACATTGGGGACATCCTGCTCTACAGAGAAGGGGAAGCTAACAGTAACCTTAGATTCGGGTTCGAGGTCGCTGAAGAAGAGCATACCCGCCTCCGGAGGCTTCGCAAAGGAGACATCTGGTGTTAAGACCTTAGCTTCGGCGGTAATCGTGCGCAGTCCTCCCGTGGCGGGTTTAATAGCAATTTCGCATGATTTAATCGAGTTCCACCCGGTTGAAATTTCGATTTCGAGCGCGTTGTTCTGATCAAGCCGAGTATGCTTGGCCGCTGTCAGGCCAATATCAAACGAGTGCGTCTGCTGGAAAAGGAGAATCGGCGGGCTCCGGAATATCGTATCGCCTTCAGGCGAGATTTGATTTACGTCCCGTTCGTAGCTGAGAACAAGCCTGCCATTCTCTAAAAAGAGTTGATCAACTTTGTATCGTCCCGTTGTGACGGCCTAGAGCATACTGGTTAGCAACATAACGGCCTTCGCCGGAAGACTGGGAGGCCACAACTCACCTTGCCGATAAAAGTCATACGGCTCCTCTTTGGCTTGACAACTTGCTTCCCAGCACTTTCGAGACGAATCTCCTTGGTCGGCCCACCATCAACACACGCCAGCCTCAGCGTAGCTCTCTGAATCGGCAGATCATCTTGCAATAGACTGTTGAGCTCGACATCAAGCGAAAACGAGTCCGAGCCATCTAGGTACTTAACTGTTCCACAGATATCAATATCAAGGAAGAAGTTGCTCAGTGGAATAATGATCTCTTCCGGAAGAGCCGTCGAAGCCGCCAAGAGCTCTTCGACGAAACCTTTGACAGCTGACAAATCAGGGCGACCCCTCCTGAGCCTCATCAGCGACGACTGCTTGGCGTACTCAGCTTCAGCCGCCGCAGCGCCCATAAGCAGCTTCAACACCGCCTGGACCAACTTCTTCTCCCTATCCAGCTTCTTGAGACATCGGCAATACATTATAAGCATGGACAACTCGAGCAGAGTCCACCCATTCTCGCCAAAGAAGGGAGTGGCGCGGTCAAAGTACCCCGCAGCATCGGGGTACTCGCCAGCTTGGTACTTAAAGACCGCCAAGTCGGCCAGACAGGACTTGATGGAGTGCGTATGGTTCGCTACCGTATAGTGTCTCAACGCCTTGTCCGTCAGAGTTTCATACAGCCGGTAGAAATCCTCTTTGCTCGCAAAAGCGGCGCTAAGCAGTCGGTTCGACAGAACAGAGTGTGAGAGGAATTTCTCGCTGTCCACGGATGATGATTCGCTGCTTGATTGAGACGAGTCGTCGTCATCAAGATTAACGTCTTCCATTGTTGAGTAATCGATGCTGTCTGGCAGGATGGGCACTTGGTTCCATCCATCATTCCAGCCCTTGGTGCGTCCCAACTTCTCCAAGATATTTCGACTTAGACTGTACAGCTCGGCTCGCCTAGCGGCAAGTTCCTCCAGACCAGCTTTGAGGAAGTGTGAATGGGCTGTAGCGTCCTTTTCTGATACCTTCGAACTCCGGCCCGGACCTGGGAACACGTTGGGACTTGGCGGTGGACGTGAGCCTGCTGGCATATTAAGAGATGACGTCCTCGCCGGGTGCATCATCGTTTTCGGTTCAGGAATGGAAAGCTTAGGCTCGTGGCCGTCGGGAGTAGTTAGAGTAGAAGGGGGTATGGGAAGGGCCTTGGTTGAGGTTTGAGCGAGCACCTGCTGCGCAACGGAAAAAGCGAATGACGCCACCATGTTGTCCACGACCGTAGAGAGCGATGGAGGCAGTTTTTTCGGTTCCGCCGACTCGCTGCCGGCCGCCTCTGACGCCTGCGCGGCGGCGATAATGTCACGCTGCATAACCTGCGACGCGACAGGTATAAACTCAAGTGTCCGTCTACAGATTTCCGACAGCCTAGATAAATTTTCCGAGTCGTCCGTGTGTTTCGTCTCGGCCGGTATCCGGGGGTCCACTCCCCGTAGAGCTGCCTCCCGCTGCTCATTCAACTTCGCCACGAGTTCCTCCCGCGTAGACCAGGCGTTTCCGAGGCGAAGTAATAGAGCGATCTGGCGAGCAAATATGTAGCACTTGAAGTCGAAAAGGGAAACATTGTTGGCTAGAATCATATCTCGATACGGCTTTCTTGTAGCAATAATCGGAATATCTTCGAATTCGTCGTCGCCGCCGGCTTGGAGGTCGACAGACTCCTCATCCGTGGTCTCCCCCGCTTCAGGGTTTAGCGACGCCAAAGCCTTATCGACAGCTTCTTTCAGATCGTTTGTGTAAGGCAGCAGCGCTCCACCATGGCTCTCGGGGGAGCCAGAGGCCGCCTGTTTCGCGATGACCATGTCAAGGCCAACGCTGAGCTCGTCATAACCAACCAAAGCGTCCTCCACGAGGCCCACGCTCTCAAAGCCGCGAGCCAGCCCCTCCTTCAGGATGAAAAAAGTGCAAAAATTCCAGCCGGGCAGAATGCGCTGAGCGTCCTTTTCCTTGATATCCTCTTCGTAACGGGTGACTCGTATATCAAACGAAGTCAAGATGCGCGCCTTTAGCTTCGTAATCGTATCTTGCCACGCCGCTTCGACGTCCTGCTCCGTCTCTACGTATCCCGACGGGACGGCAGGAACCACTCGTGGCAACATGTCATAGGGGACGTCATTAATCCCGACCCGAATCTGCGCGACATGATCCACCGAGTTCTTCCCCGTGACGTTAAAGTCCGCCTGTAACTTCTCCAATAGCGTCGAAGAACCACCCCTCCACCTTGAAGTGCTCTTTGCCTCTGAGCCCGAGGCATCTGCGCCCTTTCCGCTTGTCCTCGGCTGCGTCGCAGCAACAGTATTAGGTAAGACCACATGCACGATCAACCAGTCAAATGCATCATGTGCCTCGATAGTCCCCTTCTTGCTTGAGCCCTGCGGTACCGTATTCTTCTTGATCCACTCTCGTATCTCGGATCGAACCTGGCTCTTGTAGGAATCGTTGTCGTCGCATCGCACAAAGAGGACCTTGAGGTACGGGGTCCGCCTCAGTCCAGGTATCTGATGTCGGCGTGCCTTCGCCTGTGGTTGCGTCGCTACTACGGATGGCGACTCGGAGCTTTCGCTAGGGGTAGCCGGTCCCCCGCCACCGCCAACGGTCTGGGTCTGGAAACCATCTTGGTTGGTGCTGACGCTCGCAGAACGTCGAAGCGCAGGGTCAGACTTGTTGAAGTCCACCTCTTCTCCCGCAAGTATGAGGTCCACATGTAAGGTATTGATGGAGCGGAGGTGGCCGGCATGCGATTGCCAGTGGAGGTTTCGGAGGGGGAGTCTCGGGATGAGGCCGGGGGCGGCGAGCTTGTAGACGTCGTGGGGGTCGAAGCACTCGACTACGCGCAGCGGTTAGCCAGCACGTAAGATCGCGGTTCCGCAGAGAATACCACTTACCCGTCACCTTAGAGGTCGAAAATTGCTCCATGATTGCTAGCTAGAACTCTACCAAGCCCGTTACATGTCATTGACCTCGATCTAGGGGGCTCTTCTTGCGCACGTGAGATGCAACTTTCATAGATGCATGGAGAGCCCAATATTGCTTCTATAACGGAAATCGGAGATGAGATGTACGGAAAGGAGATCGTATCAAGTTCGTAACTTCGTAAAATTCAGGATATCATGTCCGCGCCGAAACAATTTCGTAAATCCCCTTGATGCTTTGCTCTCGGCGAGCTCCCGAGAGTTGAAGTTGGCCTCTGATGACTAAGCCAGGGGCAAGGTTCAGCGCAAAGCAGGCAGTTCGTCCATTGTCATTCTTCAAGTGACGTCTCAGCGAATAAAATGACCACGCGCAGTTCGAGATTCAATTGACAGATATCCGCCACCTGTTCCCAACTGAATACCGTCTGCCCCTCCCCCGCGATGACGAGCTCTCTCATATCATTATCAAGAAAATATTCCGGGCAGTTCAGTCTCTTCAGCAGAGAAAAGCGCTCACATCGCATATATTCCCGTGAAGAATTGGATCTATTCCTTCTGGTACTTCTTTTCCTCAAACGCAGTTTTTTCCCCGTCGAAAATGGCCACTCTCGAAGCTATCCAGTACTCTCCCGGGAAGCTCAAGGTCCTCGACCAGCTACAGCTTCCTCACTCGTTTCAGTACGAAGTTGTCGCTACCTGCGAAGATGCCTTTGATTGCATCAGGTCGATGAGAGTACGAGGTTAGTTGGCATTAGGTTTTGGATGGGCGAAGAGAATTCACTACTAAGCAGGTGTTGGAAGAAAAATGTATTATAACTAATATGGATACAAGGTGCTCCCGCGATCGCAATCGTCGCGCTGCTTGGCCTCGCGGTCGAGCTTCATAATGGTGAATACCGTAAGTCCTACCATATGCAGGGTCCTTCTAATTCCAATTACATGACCCATTGGCATGCTCCAGAGCCAAATTAACGAACCCGTCTCCAGAGGCTTCTACAGTGGACGACATAATCGCCTACATCGACAAGAGACTCGACTACCTCAAGGAAAGTCGCCCAACTGCCGTCGACCTAGGAAACTCCATTACCCTTCTCAAGAAGCTCATCCGCGGTGTACGCGAGACCGAACCCGAGAGCACTGTCGACGATATCGTCAAGGCCTACATCGCGGGCGCCGAAGAGTACATGAACCGTGACCTCCACACCAACGTCTCCATCGGCGATAATGGCACCAACTGGTTGCGCGACGTCGTCGGCGCTAGCAAGGACAATACGATATCCGTGCTGACCCACTGCAACACGGGCTCCCTCGCAACGTCGGGCCACGGCACGGCCCTCGGAATCATCCGAAGCCTGCACAAAGATGGTCTTTTGAAGCACGCTTTCTGCACAGAAACGAGGCCGTATAACCAAGGTAGCCGTCTGACCGCCTTCGAGCTCGTCTACGAGGGAATTCCCAGCACACTCATCACGGATTCCATGGCCGGTGCTCTCTTTGCCACGCAAAAGGCTGAAAAGAACATCGCGGCGGTCATCGTCGGTGCCGACCGGGTCGTTGCAAACGGTGACACGGCTAACAAGATTGGCACGTACCAATTGGCCGTCCTCGCGCGGTACCACGGTCTCAAATTCATCGTCGCCGCGCCCCGAACCAGTATCGACCTCGCGACGGCAGCGGGCTCCGACATCCACATCGAGGAGCGCAAGAAGGAAGAGTTGACGCAAGTATCTGGGCCGGTTGTCAAGCAAGATGGCACGGTCGACAGCAACGAGGTTGTACGGATCGCGACGGCGGACCAGAGGATCGATGTGTGGAACCCCGCCTTTGACGTGACACCCCATGAGTTGATTGATGCCATTGTGACTGAAGCTGGAGTGGTAGTCAAGGATAGTGAGGGCAAGTTTGACCTCGCGAGAATAAAGAGCGAGAGCGATGTCGCCAAGGCGTAAGTTAGATTAGACCGTTGATTGGATGATAAAATGGGGTTACGCTATGTAGAAGAATAAAGTAGGGTTATACAACGAGAGGCACCGATTCCTCAATTTTGCAGCGCATGCAGAATTAGACGTTTATACCCCTCAACTGAGGTCTCGAGGTCACCAACTGTCAACCTCTCGTTCGGTGCGTGAGCGACAAGAATAGAGCCGGGTCCGTAGAGATAGCGTTTGTAAACGCCCTTCAGATTCGGTATATCTGTTCCGTAGCTCTCAACAGTCGTCTCGAATCCTAAAGGAAATGAGTAAGCTCTCCAGTCTCGACAACCTCGCTTCAAAGGGGGATACGTTACCTGGAACAGCGCAGTCACACTCTACAACGCCATATCCATGCGTGTACGCGAACTTTAGCGATTCCGGGTCCAACTCGTACAGAATCTTTTTAATGCGGTCAACGACAATCTCTCCGCCTTCATCTTCGGGGCCGATAGCAACCCGAATAGCAAGGTCTACTTTAGCATGATCAGGAATGACATTCGCCGCCACACCGCCATCGATGCGCCCGATATTGACGGTAGTGTTGCCAAACTTGTCGCTGCTTCCTAAATCGGTATTTATCATTTCATACAAGGCCTTGACGAGGAGCTCATTGGCGGATTTCCCAAGCCAGGGATAGCCAGAGTGACCGGAAATTCCGCTAGCCTCGATAGAGCAGAAGAGCCCACCCTTGTGTCCACAAGCCAGCTTGTTTTCCGTGGGCTCGCCAAAGATGACGGACTCGAAATTGAGAGCGTGCCTTTCCGAGCTGTTCGAAAAGTGCCTCATGCCGTCTCCGGGACTCTCCTCGCCGACTACGAACAAGAGCATCACGTCTTCCTCGCGGACCTCGCCTGCATCCAGCAGGCTCTGCAAAGCGATAATTTGGGCAGCTATGCTCCCCTTGGCGTCTACGGAGCCACGTCCTCCGATGACGGTGTCGGACGTCGGCTCGTCGTCGGAAATGTAGTAGGGAATGTAAGGAGGAACCACGTCAATATGAGAGCTTATGATGACGCGGGGATTAGGGCGCGCCGAGTCTCCTGGCCAGGCAAGGACATTAAACCGATTCTCATCTGGGGAATCAGTTTTGGAGGGGATGTACTGGAGTTGAGTAGTGTAACCCCGACGCCTGAGATATCGAGCAAGATGGTGGCCGACTTCAGTCTCATGGTACGTAATGGATTCGACCTCTACCAGAGACCGGTGAAGCGAGAGAAGGTCATCACGCAGCTTTGTTGGTGGAGCATTGCCATAGAGCAGGTCTGCGTTGATCAATGGGAGTTGTTGAGGGTTGGGGTTCGGGGTGGCAAAAGCAGACCCCAGCAAGGCCAGCAAAGCGAGAGAAAGGAGTGCTGGCATCGTTCTCGTGGAAGGAAACAATTCTTGCTCGGAAGAAGGCTTAAGATAATGGAGGGAGGGGGAATTTGGACCTGAACAATTGAACAATGGATGTGAGCAATGACACAACAAGTTTATTTCCTATTTGGGCCCAGCGTCGGCTTGGCCATCAGGGTCTACGAAGGTACGAAGTCCTCTTGGAATTTTGCCGAAGACATCCCGTCCAGCATCTGTTCATGGAAACAAGTCACTAGTCCCCCAGCGGTCCCAACTCTCCCCGCCACCTTTCAGTGTGATACTAGAGCGGTTTTCTCCAACATGCGTTAATGGGGGCACGAACAGGATCCTTTCTACCTCAGCCATGTCTGCCCTGCTAAGCGGCGGGGCGTTTCCGAGCCTCGACACCGCATGCTCTGCGCCGGGATTCAAGGCCAGACAGCGGCTATAAGCTTCTAGAGCTTCCGTGTGTCTGCCTAGCAGATCCAGCTTAATTGGATCGATATATAAGCATTTCAAGACCAACATCGGCGACGGACAATATCCAACTTACCGCGATACCGTCATTCATCAAGGCCCCCCAACACGAGTTGTTTGTGTCCACAATGCTACAGACGTGGTAGCATCCACGCGCTATGACAAAGTTTCCCTCTATAATCTCAAGGTTACCTGCACTTAGCCAATACTCTATCGCAAACCCGGAAACGTGGTGCATAATAGATTTTCCAAAAGCATCACGCGCCAAGTGTGGTTTCTTGAGTATCGTGTACGCGCGCCCCAAGAGATAATTAGATTGCTGACCACTCTCCCAATCGCGTCCTACGTACTCCTCGTTAACCTAAGTCGCATTGGCGGCGCATGGCCCGGGTTGCTTGGGGCACCGTACCGTGGAACTCTGAAGACACCAGCAAATGGGGCAGGGCTCTTTCCGCGTCTCCCCGTGCTAGGTAATGCCATCCCATGTATTGGTTCGCTCGCGCATCGTCCTCGTCACTGCAGAGAAGTCGTTGGGCCTCTTCGAAGCTCGCAACGGATTTGACTCGTCGGTAGGCGTGGATACGACGGACATACCCAACCCAGTTTTCTGCCACTGGGGGAAACGTAGGAGGTTTCAGAAGTGGAATTAACCTAAATCTGTTAGTGGAGGTAGGACCGTACTCAGGTATCATTAGGTACAAGTATAATACCTTTGGACCGCAACAAGGTCTTCGTGTAGCTCAGTCGTAACAACGGTGAGCCTACACACCATGCTGTACTCCTCTTAGCGTTCGCCAGTACTTACCACGAATCGAAGGGAAACTATACCATCTCTCTTCTTTGGGCCTTCCCGGCGTCGGACAAAGCATTCCACGGCAACGTGGGGAAGGACATAACCCAGAATCGGATGCGGGCCAAGGGACGAGCATTGACTGCTCAATAGTGACACCTGGTTGAACTCGGGAGTACTTGAGCTCAGATTTGGGATTTCTATTGGGCTTTGTAACACCGGTGCATATGCATTTGGTAAAAATACCCTTAGGTAATGGCCTATCTTTCCCAAACACGACCGCCTCGAGCATATCTTCAAAGGCCTATCATGTCTCCAGTGAACTTGTCTTCGACTTTCTTGATTATGGAAGAGGAATTTGGGAAACTCACTCTCTGCTCCGAACAGGCTTGAAACGGCAACGCCCAACTTTCTCCGAAAACATCATCGAACCGAACTATTGGAAGGTTAACATGATTCGGCAAAGCCTCAAGAGCCCGCGAGATATCAGCCATGCTTCTTCGGATATCCAGAAGTATCGAGCTTGATGTCATAGGTTAGCCACGCTGACAACGGAAATAATAAGGGAGGACGCAGCCCACGCATTTTCGGAAACTTTTTGAAGGGTGTCTCGAGAAAGTGTCAAGAGCCTTTTTCACCCTCGTGTCAGCAATAGTCGAGTGGCCTATATCTGTAGACTGACAACTCAATCAAGTTTCGTAGTCGTAATAAGGTGCGAAACAACCGCCGCCATGATTGATCAAGCTTTTCGCCTAGACACTGTCCGAATGCCACCACGGCGTCGAATGACGTTCCTAACGAGTCAACACGGGATTGAACTTGGCCCATTTTTCTGTCAATCGTCTGTAGCTGTGCATGAGTCATCGTCTGACTTCGGCTGAAGCAAGTCTTCAAGTCCCCAATGAGGATTGGAGTTTTGTTCACGGCATCTTGTAAGATAATAATCTCCTGGGAATACGCGGCGAGTCTGTGAGAGTGACCCTTCATAAAGTCCATAATCTCCGGGCCCAATCTTTGAACTTGACTCCTATCAAGACATCAATATTAGCACGTAATCGCGAATGCTGCTAGACGATGCAGGACAACAGTACAACTGAACGGTGCTCAGAAGGACGTTGATCGCAAGCATGTTGGAGAGCAAAGCAGCTCGTAGTTCCTCCACATCCTTCCTAGCAATCATAGACCAGTGCAACCTCGTCCCGATAGATCTCAGCGCACCCCGAGTCCGAAAATGCCCCAGGGCAGTCTCCTTGCCATGCAGGGTGTCGATGAAGTGCTGTAATGGCCGCCCTGACTGCAGTGCGATGGCCCTCATACGCTGGATAACGGCAAAATCTTCCACGCATCTCGGCTCGATACTGAGGACCGTCTGGATGGTGGTCTTGTGAATATCCAACTGGGCCTGGAGTTCTTGGAAATGGTGCGGCGCATCGCGGTAGTTGCGAATCTCTATCGCGATGCGCTCGAGGAGGCCGAGGACGGCGACTACGTCGCCCACTGCGTAGCCGAAACTCATTTGGGCAAGCCGTTAATGTTTCTCTACGATCCGACTTTTATTAAACGTTGAGAGAAGATCTGGTGTGAAGTGAAGAGGGTGCTTTGTCCGATTTGATAGGGCGAAGCGAGAGCAGGCTGCGGTCACTCAAACCACTTCGTCGCCTACAGCCACCCCGCATGCGCCTCCGCTCAACAGCGAATGATGAGCCAGGCTGGTTTCTCGAATGCAGACCCTGGACTGCTTGCCTTAACTCGGCTGTGCCACGGTTTAAGGAGGGGGATTTCAGTTTCATACACCATGATATGAGCATCGATCTACCCACGGCTTATACCACATGGGATTGATTCTTCATTAATAGTATCTCAAAACGTGGTTTGCTAGTAAATCCTTATAAGCCTAAGAGCAGTTCGACCGACAAGCGATGTTACAACTACGGGAAATACCCGGTGATGCTGAAGGCATCCTTCAGGATCTAGCGAATTTTCTTTATCGCGCAAGCTTTGACCGCTTTGAAATCTGCAATGACAATCTCCTTGGATTTAAATGCCATTCGCTATCAGAAGCTATTGGAATTCCGTGGGGGAAAGTAAGTCAATATACCATTATATTCAAATCTATTCGAGCCTGTCTAACTGGGCCTCAAGAAGGCGGGTGCAATGCGCCTCAGAGGCAAAATCCAGAGGCCACTTGAAGTGCCCACCTCAGCCGACATAGTCCTCGTTCAGTTGTGGGGTCCCAGTCTACCGAAGATCCGACGCAATAGTGGCCTGGGGGAGGATATTACCCTACTGAAGGGCTTTGTTCTCCGTGCTACCGAGGATATAACAATCGTGGTAGCTGAAGACGTCACCTTGGACCTTGTTATCATAGACGACGTTTGAATACAGGGGCAGGCCAGTCTTGCAGCGGGTTCAAATTTTGCGTGTGATGGCCTATTGCAGTAGGCCCAAAAGCTGCCCAGCTGGTTGGGGAAGTGAAAACTTGCTTGGAATGTGATCTGGTTTAGTAACTGGACTGAAAGCGATATTGATATCTTGCGTGGACTAGGGCCCTGGTAGATACGGGCATTTCACGAAACACCGGCTTGACCCAAGAAGTTAGCAAACCCAATTGATGTCCTAAATAAATTGAATCCAGTCAGTTTATACATCAGCCGGGTGCATATCTTAGAATTTCACTTGATTTCTACGCCGACAATCCATCGCTGATCCAAACTCCACCGCTTTGTTGCCGATACGTGCCCCACTTCTCTTCCGGGGACGGAAGATCTCCACCGGCTTCGTCGGAGAACCCTCCGTCCTTCAAACGATATTCAGGACGAGCAGGAAGCGCTCTACGAAAAGTAGTCGGCAATTTCTTTGCAAGCCAGTCATGAAATCGTCTACATCCAAAGAAGAGGAGAAAGTCCTGACTCGCGGAACGAAAATGATAAAACATGACGATGTTGGAGATCGGGTGTGCACTAGTCGTAAAAGAGTCCAGAGTTAAGAAGATGAATTATCTATTTCACACTGCTATTGTAAACATGTATTCTCAATCCTTGATCTGGAAATTCCATGGGAATAGTAAGAAAGCAGAGCAGAAACAAATTCGACGAGGAACCAAACATAAAACATTGGCGTAAAACCTTTTCCTCTAAAATATATAAACTACAGGCACATGCCTTACTCCGATCCCTGCCTTGCCCTGAAGTAATTTGATGTTAACAGGTAGCAAGTTGCTCATGCTTTGAACCTAATGTTCAGTTGACTTCCGTTTCACTAAGCGAGGCCCAATGCCTCAATAATGGCCTCCTCAGAAAAATTCCCTCCTCCGCCGTGTTCCCGCTTCATCGATGACGAACCTTGCCCATGTACACCGGATTCGAATGACGTCAGCTGGAAATTAGTCAACGACCCCGACCCTACCATGCTGCCGTTTGGTGTTGCGAGGCTGGGATTCGAGTTGTCTGTTGGTGACATTCCGTTAACGAGTCTGCTCATTTCCGCTGTAACCGACCCGAAACGGGCCAAGGGACTTTTGCACCCTCGAGTATCGAAGAAACCTCCAGAGAGTGTTCGGTGGCTCTTTTGAGCCGTTGCAGACATTGGAGTTGTCATTCCAGGCCTGCCAGCAGCGTTCGCCATGCTCCTTGTAGCCAGTGGGGTCACCTCTGGGCCATTAGGGTTTTGAAGAGACACCTGAGTGCTCGGCATATCCGAAAGCGGAAGCGGTACATTACGTGCGAGAATCGGTGTAGAAATTGTACGGCGTTCAGTCAATATTGGTTGCTGAGATCGATTCGTCGACTCGGTCGTGCATGTAAGTGCCTGACCATCGAAGGTGACAATCCCCTGAGTAAATGGGTTCGTCACGGTGCAAGACTGGAGACCATTACCGCTGTGCAGTACGGGAGCAACGGGCGCCGCTGCGTTGAAACAGTTGATGCCCATTTCCCCGGTTCCTAATGTTGCACTCGGATCATAACTGGAATTGGGTCCAGTCCAAGGATTATGGTCCGCCTGGTTCACAAAATCCGGCATACTCGTGTCAGAGTTGGATTTGTCCTTAGATCTGTGGCAGTTTCCCGATTCACTAGACTGGGAAGGAGGGTTTACCCAACCACTGGAGGGTGTTTGATAGCCGGTGCTATGGCATCCTGGGCTAGCCAGGAGACTAGCGGAGGTATTTAGTGGAAACCCAGGGTGGGCAAAAGAATTAGAGACTGGTGGCTCCGTGTTCCTCCGAACTAGGCTGTTGGTATGCAACGCTTTATGGCCGACAATCTCCTGTGTCCTCGATACCCGCCTAGGTTTAGGGCGGCGGGATGAATGAGCATGCAAAAATGGCTTATCCCGCGATGATAACCATGAGCTCGGTCTAGAAGGCACGATCGGCGTCTCCAACCACATCGAGGGATTGGGCCAGGCGATGGCAGCGGCTTCGAGGAGGACTGTAGGTGATATTCGGGTCAGCAACAGTATCCGCCGCTTAGAAATGCTGGCGGACCTACCAAGTGGAGCATGCTGGAAGGAGAAGGCCACGATATTCTTCACCGTCTCCAAACCCATGGCCGGTGGCCCCCGGGAGAATGCCTCGCTGATAACAACTTTAATGCGGCCTAGATCGTCGGCTGCGCTCCAAGAGCTTTGCTGGAGCACATCGGAAAGGAATATAGGGAACCGTAGAATATCGGCCTGGCCGTTTGTATTATGGTCTATCGATGCGGGAATAGTTAGCTATGGGCTACTTCACCCATCCCTGTTTGACAGGCTACGCAGAAATAGTCGTACCTTTTGCGTTATTGATAACTTGAGGCCAGTTACCGGAGCCATCGAACACATCGGACCTTGGGGAATAGGCGATGTCAGTGAGGTGTTGTTGCTGTCCTCACGACAAACCTACCCGATCAGGCATCCGTCAAAGTAAATCCTTGCTTGAAACTTGACAAGTTCCGGATGCTTGGTGATGGCCTTCGTAAAAGCGCTCGCTTCCGGGTTCTGAACCCAGCTGTGGATTGATATGTGGAATGGGGAGCCGGCTTCGAGGCTAGGAATGAAACACGTCATTGTCGGGAGCCCCATAGCACAATTCGGGACCGAGAACTCTGAGGCAGAGAGTTTGTGATTAGTCCTAGAGACCCAGTGAATGAAGGTGGAAATAGAGTAGACCAAATCACTCACCTGGGTCCTGGACTAAGTGACAGGTCACCTGGAACTCCCTCATTGGGATGCCACAGTCCCATGGGAAGAGCAAGACATCCCAATCATCGTATCGCATGTTGTTGAAGGCAAAGCCAGTCCCCAAATAAAATCACTAGTCGTTTGGAAGCAAAAATACTGATCCCAATCTCCCGATATCGAGCGATGGGCTCAAGTATCGAAAGGCTTGGGGGATAGGGGAGAGATAGAAAAGGAGCACGAGAGGTTTGCTATCGGCATCAAGATCGGAGCACTTGGATGACTTTTCGGGGGGATGCCGGTTAATCACTAAATTAAGGTACCTACTCGAGGTATGCGCCTTCTGTATAGCATCATTTGAGTCCTGGAAAGGAAGGGTTACTGCCAGATGTTGAGGGCGTTGGGAGGGGTTAAGAGCGTTAAGAGAAGGAACCCAACGTCTAGATAGTTACGATCAGCCGATTACGGGTTCTCACGATGTCGGTATAGAGCATCCGTGATTTAATTGGGACTAAAGGACTGGTTCCGTGTGCGAGAAACAAGAGAGCGTATGTGCATTTGTTGTATACCGATCGGTATCGTGACCACTAGGTGCAAACCAGCAGTGACTAAACGGGAGGCTGAGGAGAGTGGAGGGACTCATCGTCTATTACGGAAGCTAGGTGCTCGGATTCCGTACAACAGCGGTCTGGCTTTCGATACTCAGGCGAAACCGTCTCTTGAGTAAGCCATTTATGTTTCTCGGCTGCGGATATTGGATGAGCTCTTTTTAGCAAGACCTGGCTTGCTGGAGAGAGACCAACCAATTTGATGCTTTTGAGTGTTTCTTGCCCAAGGTACCTCCTTGGCTGTGCTGCCTGTGACTTCCCCAACTGAGGGACGATAAGATAAGGCACCGTCATTCCGCAATCGCGGTACAACTAGATGCGTTGGTCAGGGAAAGAACCTGCATCTACCACAGATCCTCAGGAAACAAGCGAGGAATGTGCAACTAGAGTCAATTCAGCACGACCACTTCGGCAGCCGCGAGAGTAATATACAATGAAAGTGCACTCTATCAGACAAAATGAACGGCCATCAACGATGTTCGACGTCAGGTATCTAAATTGCCCCAGCTAATCCATCCCCAAGTTGTATTCAAGGATCCGGATCACCAGCTTTCCTTGCCTAGGAGAATGTTAGTACCGAATGCAATCAATTGGGCATGCGGGTGTCCAAAGACAGCTCGAAGATCTGAATCTTACCCTCACGGCTCCCGAACCACCAAGCTCCCGCTCCAAACCGTCGACGTATTCCTTGGGAACGGCCTTCATGTCGGGATATGTCAGGTATACAAGCCCAATTGCAGAGAGAAGAACGGCCGTCGCGGTCGCGAACATCACGGCACCCTTGCCGGGGGTCGTCCAGTCGTACTCGTAAGGGGAGAAGATGCCCAGCAAATCATTATCCTCGTGGACGGGTTCGCCGAAGTTCCTCCTCTCCTGGGTATCCCACCAGTCGCCATAGGGGTCACGGAATTGTCTCTTGATCGCGGGAGGGTTGATGTAGCCGCCATTCTAGCACGGGTGGAATTGCCGTTCTGTCAGCAGCCATACGCACATTTGACCTGCATCCATGCGCCCGGACAAAAATGCCCCTCTAACGGGTGTCACTAACCATTCCAGGATCCTCGGCATCGGTCAGCTTAGGGTAGTCGGGATATTTTTCGTTGATAACCTCCCGTGAGTTAATTGATGGGGGGAAGAAGAATCGCTTCTGGACGACGGGGACGGGGTTGGCACCGAAGCCGAGGACGCGCCGCGTCGAAGCCGAAGCAAGTCGTCGAGACATCATCTGTTATAGTTCAATTGAGCGTTCGTCAGCGGATTGTTGCCCTCTGGCATTGGGGTTCTTCTCGTCCCTGATCGATATGGCGACGAGGTAATTGGCTCATGGAGCGGAGGCCGGAGCGTACCTTGACTGTCCAAGAATTGCGCAGCCGGGACGTCTACCGATGAGCTACGAATCGAGAAATGCAGACACAGCTGCTAGTGGACGAAGTATCGTAGTCGGGGGATGAATTGTATTGCTCGAGGCCGCAAGCAGCGGAACTTGAAGTTGTCGTCAGACAAAAGCAGCAAGCGACGAGAGTGGTGCAGGGCAAACTTGATTCCGGACGCTCTGATTGGCTAATTGGATCCGGGTGACTAATCAAAAGTACTAGCTACTGTCTGAGCTTGCTGCCTTCCTCGTTTTCCCGCATTGATGTCCTAAATCAGGCGGTAGGCGGTACATTTTGCTCTGAAAACCGACGTCTTCCGCCTTCCTTCCAGGATTTCCCACCGTGCCAGAAGATCCCAACATACGGAGTACACGTCAAATTCTATAATGTGGCTCCCTTTTCGAGCCTGAGCCTGACCTTTGCTCCCGTCATCAACCACTTCACGATTTTTTTTTTCCCTTTGCCGCGATTCCATCACCTGGCTCACGTTTTCCAACGCCAGCATCCGATGTAGATCGTGGTCATGACCAAACTTCGCATGGGTATTTCTTGAATCCTTACGATTCCGTAGACGTTAATTTTCACCCACCAAATGCCACTTTCATTGAGATCACGACCCTCTCGTCTTCGCTGTCTCCCCTGCCGTAATGACCCCTTCCGCGTCGCCGCGTCCAACAACGCCGGATGTGGGTTTGGCCAACCTTGATGACCTGGATTCAGACTCTCCCCTGTCCGACCTAGCCGATTACACGTTCGATTCCGATTTTGATTCCGATCCTAACCCACCGAACCCCCCTTCAAAGTCGATATCAGATGGCGAATCCGACGCAGAACCAGAATCTGGGCGTGGAGCCTCGCCACAGAAAGAAGTTGGATCAACCGCAGAACATTCAACCGAGAACGGGTCGTTGTTAGACACCGAAAAGGAGAATTACCTGGACATCACAACCGATGCCGACACCCCTGCCGATGATGAGCGCCCAGCCAAACGTCGACGAATTCAAGATGCCACTCCCCAAGCTGGCCCCCGCAAGCGACCCATCTCCCCACCATGGAAGAAGATCGAAGCTGATGGCCCGACGACCTTTACGGAGAATGGAAGACGCAAATCTGGACGGATCAACTCTGTCCCTCTGGAGGAACTTCTCAGGGGCGACAAGAGGCTGACGAGGCGAGCTGTCCAGCCGACTGCATCTCCTGCTGCTAGCCCCAGACCCTCAGCCGTAGGCAGCCGAGCCACCACCACACCCCAACCATCCGCCCAAAAATCCGCCCAAAAGGCACCCGCAAAGAAGCCTACTCCGAAACCGACCCGAACCGCACCGAAGCCACCCACTTCGCGGGAGCTCAGAACTTCATCACGAACCACCCAACCAAGGAGACAGCCCCCCTCCCCGCCACCCCAACCGCCGACCCGCCAATCTACTCGAACAAGAAGGACGTCACGATATGGAGCAGAGAGCGCAGCGTCGCAGGAGCTCACAAGTCCGGGCCGCCGACGAGCGTCTAGCCTACGCGACACCCCCGCTAGGATCCGGTTACGCACCCGCCTCGACACTATTCCCATCCTCCATCCCGATCAACTAACGAAACGACCGAAGCTCTTCCCGACGTTTGACGAATACTGGGCGCGCGCATGGGAGATACCCGTCGAGGAGGGCGGCCTCTTCTCCGCGGACGACGAGGCGCGCATCACCGATGAAGCTGCGAACAAGGAAGCCCAAGTCATACGGAGGATCGAGACGGAAACCGAACCGGGCGGCATTCTATCCGAGGAGCGATGTTCCGTGTTCGTTCCCGAGCCACAAGACGAGCCACCGCGACAATGGGCGCACATGGACCACTTGGCCAAAGCCGCCGCGAACTTCCGAAGGCTTCTAGTTGCTGAGCACGTGCGTCACAGGGCTACCGCCAAGAAAATTGCGGAGGCCTGTCGAGATAAATGGAAGCGCCGCCAGCCCAAGACCGCCGAGCAGCTTGAGCAAGAGGCGAGGGAGCTCTGGATTGCGCGGTATCGTCTCGTCGTTCGCGCCGTTTTTGGAACCTGGGAGAATGTCAAGGCTGAGATCAACCACCGACGCCTTGAAGAGTGGGAGGCCGAGGAGCAGCGCAGGGTCAAGGCTGCTCTTAATGAGGCAGTTACTATATCAGAGCAAAAACTCCAAGCCCGGCAAGCGATGGCGGACTCGGACCTGGACTCGGACGAAGACGAGGAAGGAATGGATCTCGACTCGGACCTCGATTCGGCTCTTTTGTCCGATGCTGACATCGCTGATGACTTGGACAATGACGGTGATAACGAAGGCGCCGATGACGACAATGATGGTGATGATGATGAGGACGGGGAGGATGACGATAACATGTCTTCGTCCTCTGACGAAGAGGAGGGTGAGGAGGGCAAGGATGATGCTGGTGACGAACATCTTACCCGTGAGCAGCTATTAGCGAAGTATGCGAATCTTCCCGACCTACCTCAAGATACAATATCAACACCTGCCACCGAAGGGGATGGAGGGAACGATGAGGCCAAGGTCAAGCAAGAAGACGACACAAGTGACGAATCGATCGACATGGACGATGATCTCGGCTCGACAGACATGGACTCAGATAGTGACGAGGGCAGCGATAGCGACGATGAGGGCGAAGACGAAGAGGAGGATTCGGACGAGGAGGATGCCCCCTCGGGCCTCCTCGGCCTTTTCTTTGGCAAGTCGGAACTGAAGAAGCTAAAGGAAGAGGTTGCTGCCGACTCTTCCGCTCTTGAAGATGAACCTCAAATCGACGAGCCCGAGGATGATCCCAGTCCGGCAGATGATCCCATCAACGGCGCCCAGCCAAAGGTTAACGGCATTGTCAAGTCTGATGGCGCGCCAGACGTTACCGACGACGATGACGCTATCTCCTTGATACATCATCCTGGCGACCATCGCGATACCATTGAGCCGGAGGCGAATCCTGGCAAAGCGGCCACACCCATTCCAGAGATTTCCGAGATGGAAGATTTGCCTAATGGGCTTGGAACCGATCGCGACAATGACCGCAACAGGACCACCTCTCTACCTCCCGGCCAAAAGTCTGTTGGCTTCCAGATCCCTAACGGAATTACGAGCTCGCCTTCGACAAAGGAATCGGATGTGTCGCCCGACAAGAGCACTACTACTGCTATTATGCCTCCACCGAAGATCATCACCACTCACGATGACGTCGACAATGAGGACATGGTTATGCAGGACGTGGCGGACGACCCGCTTCCGTCCGAGCCTGTGGTGAAGCCGCCCAGTCCAGAGACTGACGCCATTACTGATCCCCAAAGCCCCGAGCGAAGCCAATCCCCCCGAACATCGGATACCAAGCCCTCAGATCTCGACACCCCGTCCGCCTCGGAATTGGTGCCGGCGAAGAATGCTGTTAGCAGAAGCGCCTCCCCGGCCGCGCAATCAACGACTCCCAAGACGGAGATTCCTTTCCTCCTCCGCGGCACCCTTCGAGAGTATCAGCATTTCGGTCTCGACTGGCTTGCCGGTCTCTACGCCAATAACACCAATGGCATCCTCGCCGATGAGATGGGACTCGGTAAAACGATCCAGACCATTGCGCTCCTCGCGCATCTGGCGTGCTACCACGAAGTATGGGGCCCCCATCTCGTCATCGTGCCGACAAGTGTGATGCTCAACTGGGAGATGGAGTTCAAGAAGTGGTGTCCGGGCTTCAAAATCTTGGCATACTACGGAAACCAGGAAGAGCGCAAACGCAAGCGCCAGGGTTGGAATAACGATGATGTTTGGAACGTCTGCATCACGTCTTATCAACTTGTGCTACAGGATAGCCAGGTCTTCAAGCGGCGACGCTGGCACTACATGATTCTCGACGAAGCGCACAACATCAAGAACTTCAAGTCGCAACGGTGGCAGACTCTCCTAGGCTTCAACACGCAGGCCCGCCTCCTCCTGACGGGTACTCCCCTCCAAAACAACCTCACCGAGCTCTGGTCGTTGCTCTTCTTCCTCATGCCGTCGGAGAACGGTGTCGGCGGCTTCGCCGACCTGCAAGAATTCCACGACTGGTTTCACAAGCCGGAGTCTCAGATCCTCGAGAGCGGCAAGGAAAAGATGGACGACGAAGCCCGCGCCATTATTTCCAAGCTTCACAAGGTCCTTCGACCGTATCTCCTGCGCCGCCTCAAGGCCGACGTCGAGAAGCAGATGCCGGCCAAATACGAGCACGTCGAGTTCTGCCGGCTGTCGAAACGGCAGCGCGAGCTCTACGACGGATTCCTCGCGCGATCGGACACGCGCAACACCCTCGCCTCGGGAAATTACCTATCCATCATCAACTGCCTCATGCAGCTCCGTAAAGTGTGCAACCATCCCGACCTGTTCGTCGACCGTCCCATCATGACATCTTTCCCCATGGACCGTTCCGTGCCAGGGGGTTACGAGTACACGGAACGCTTCGTCCAGAAATCGATCCTCGCCAGTAATCCGATGGAGACTGTGAGCCTGAGCTTCCTCAACCTTATCCCCGTCATTCACGAGAACCTCTCCACTCATACCGCCGAAACCATTTCCCGACTCACATCTCCAAGGATTTTGATGGACATGCGGGACGCGCAAAAGAAGCGCGCTAAGGACGGCTTCAAGGAGTTAGATCCCACAACAGTCCTGTCCAATATCCGTTACCTCGAGGGAATCGGGCGATGGGATCGGTTCGAAGAACTACAACATTCGGTCTACCTCAACGCTCTCAGACGGCAGCAACGGCCCATCTACGGCGAAAACGTCATCAAGATGCTTACCCTGGATCTCCACGATAGCCCGCGAAAACTCCGCTCCAAGGTCCCTCGCAAGGTACTTAACTGGTTCGACGAGGACTCTGTCTTCATCTCCTCGATGGTGAAGGGCGTGGAGCGGCGGTCTGCCGAGCTGCAGACGACGATTGAGAAATTCGCGTGCATCACGCCCGCCGTTGTCGCCAAGGACCTTCACCGGCTCGTCCTCGGCTCGCGTGGCGTCAAGGCTTTCCAGGAGACTGACCTCAAGCTCTCCAAGGCGACAAGATGGGCGCCGTACATGCCGCGGGAGCCACCCGTCGACCCATGGCACGATGCACGGATGCGGCTCAGCGTCCAGTTCCCCGATAAGCGGCTCCTGCAGTTCGACTGCGGCAAGCTCCAGACCCTCGACCGGCTCCTGCGCAAACTCCAAGCAGGGGGCCACCGCGCGCTCATCTTCACGCAGATGACGAAAGTGCTGGACATCCTTGAGCAGTTCCTGAATATCCACGGGCACAAGTACCTCCGGCTCGACGGCGCGACCAAGGTCGAGCAGCGGCAGATCCTAACGGACAGGTTCAACAACGACCCGCGGATCCTGTGCTTCATCCTGTCGACGCGGTCGGGCGGTCTGGGAATCAACCTCACGGGCGCCGACACGGTCATCTTCTACGATCAGGATTGGAACCCGGCCATGGACAAGCAGTGCCAGGATAGATGTCACCGTATTGGACAGACGCGCGACGTGCATATTTACAGACTCGTTAGCGAGCATACCATCGAGGCGAATATCCTGCGCAAGGCGTCGCAGAAGCAGATGCTTGATGACGTGGTCATCCAGGAGGGAGAGTTCACGACTGATTACTTTAATAAGCTCTCCGTGCGGGATGTCATTGGCGACGAGACAGGCGCGAGGAGGGAAGATGCCGAGCTTGTTAGTGACGGCGTCGCCGCTGCTAATGCGGCCATGGACCGTGTCCTTGGCGGGGTCGATGGCGGAGCCAGCGACGATCGCTCCGTCGGTCGTGTCCTCGCGCAGGCGGAAGACAAAGAAGACGTTACGGCCGCACGTGTAGCCGAGAAGGAAATCCAAGCCGACGAGATCGACTTCCAAGAGAGGGGCGGCGTCGGTGCGGCGTCGGCCACTGCAACGGAGAGGCAGAACACGCCTCGTACAGCAACAGCGACCCCTGGCGGGGGTACGCCGGCGCCTACTGTCGAGTCCGAAGAGGACGCCATCCTGGAGCTCAACGCATGGGGCGACAAGATTCAGAATATTGATCGGTTCATGTTGAGGGTGATGGCGGAGCAGCTGAAGGGGACGCCGCTTGAGATTCCGAAGGATAAGAAGAAGGGGAAGAAGAGTCGTGGGAAGGACACGAGGAAGAGGTGAAGCACCCCCTCGGGTGCCGTGTTTCTGTATGATGTCGGCTTTTTTTTATCTTGCGACCCTCGCAAGAAGTGTGTTTTTTCTTTTTTTTGTTCATCTTTTGATCAAGTATTCATTGTATGGGAGAAACAAAAAAAATCGGGCCAAAGGTACATGCACAGGCGGGGTTTCTTTTTCTTTTTCCTTTTTTTTTTTTCTACAAACATTAGATTGGGGAAGAGACAAACGAGAAAATATGGGCTTTTTCCTGCGGAGAAGGAGAGGATGGGGTTGTTCTTTTCTTCCCCCCCCTTGCATTTTCTTTCTGTTTTTCTCAAGTTTTTTTTTTTTTTTCTTTTTTAATCGAGTGTGAGGTTGTTGTTTTTTTCTCTTTTACACTCTTCTGTACAATTAGGGATTATGAATAGCATAAGATCTGGGGTGGTGGAGTTATATATGAAGGGAACATTGAAGTTCGCAGCATCCAATTTTTTTGTTTCGATTTCTAGCGACTTTGTTCTGTGAGCTGAGAGATCTTGCGACGGATTGTGGTCAGGGTTGGCCGAAGCTGACGATAGCCTAGACACAGCTAGGCCCGTCGGAATCTTTGTCTATCTTCCCAGCTTCGGATATTGATCTCTCGGGACACGTCGAACATCACAATGCTAGGCCTTCCTTCCCAGACAGGCTCGCTCTGCTTGCTCTAGTGAATAGCAAAGACGAGCCAGGTTCAGACATCTCAAGCCGTGCATGCAAGACTACATCTGAGTCTTCCTCATTCAACTTGCCATAGCATACGATCGTTCGTTGGTTGGCTCTTGGCTCGAGTTTACCCGCCCAGGTTATAAAACAACAGAGCGCGTCGCTAAAAAGAAGCTGCACCAGGTGATGATGCGCAGAATTGCATTTATATTTCTTGTTACGCCCGCCATCCAGAATGCATGTCCAAAAGGGCTATGGGAAAGTATAATCCTTTCCTAAAGAAGGAAGAAAGAGAAAAAAGTCGCAGGAATAAAAAAAAAAAAAAAATAACGAAAAGAAAAGAAAAAGAAGAAGAAAAGAAGGAAAAGAAAAACATCATTGGGTATCTCCACCACTGTGTTGCCTCGCTTCCAGAGTTTCTCCTTTCCGGTCGCTCCCGCCTTTCGACCCGCCCCGTAACATGTTGAAAGCGGTATATGCGCGGGCATGTTACATTATTCTGTGTCCCGGTCGTCGGTCATAACCTCCTCGCATATGCACGAGGTCACTCTCTTCCTCCCGCAGTGCCCAATCGATCCCGTATCCCAATGCTTCCCAGCGGCTTTTCGGTTTCCTTATTTTTTTTTTCTCCCCCTGTATAGAATACACGTCATAAGCGTAATGCAGATGCCATAGACAATAAAGAGAAATAAAAAGTATATATGCATGAGTGTTGTGTATGTGTGTATGTGTGTGGTCGAGGATATGGAGTCGTCATCTCGGGATCGGTTCGATCGAGCGGTTCATTGCGCATCTCAGCGCGCCATCCATACGGCGGTATCATTAATTCGTCTATTTCTTCGGTCGCGTATCGGTCGCAGTAATCTTGCTGGTGCTCATCAAGTCACCAATGTACTTCTGGAGGAACTTATTGTTGCTGTCCAGCTTGTCGTGCTCCTCTCTGACGGCTTCGATGCGTTGGAAGATGGCAAGGAGCGAGTCTTGAAGCGCCTTTGCTTGTCTGTAGTAGGAAAAGTTAGTCACGTCAGTCAAGGCGCAGTGCCTCACGAGACGAGCACAAAGTCTTTGAAGACTGAAGGGCTCGGGGGGAAAGAATAAGTATAGACACACCTTCTCAACTCTTCCCGCGCTTCCCTCCCCATAGCCTCGATATCCTCGCTCGTCCTTCGCGGGCTCATGGCGCGTACGTCGTCGGGTCCGAACTGAATATCGACCGGGCCTACCTCACTATCGCGTGGGATAACGAGGGGCCCGCTGCTCTTCCGGCTAAGCAGAGGTGGTCTCTGGGGCACGGGAGCGTGTATGCCGAGACTATCTGCGTCGTTGGAAGCCGAAGAATCGGACGAGCTCGAGAGCTCCGTCGGCGTTGTCGCGTCGCGATTCGCTGGGGAGTGGTTTGCAGGATGCTGTGTTTCAATGTCGGTAGAAGTTGAAGCCATTACAAGCGCGTCGGGAAAGGACAAAGAACCAAACAAAGGTAGGTTGTTGGAAAGGATAGGAAGAAATATAATCCGGGTGGGAACGTTGAAGAGCTTTCGTCTGCAAGGTCGAGAGGGTAGGAGTTCGGTGCGGCGCGTCCCGTGCCGATACAATATTCTACGGAACGAGATGCCACCTTTCTCTGGTCGTGGGTGTAGGTTGGGATTCGATCACGTCCAACGTGATTCGCATGAGCAGGTTAAGAGGAAAATGATCGGAGGAGGCTAGAGTTGCAGCAGGGCGTCCGAACAACAATTCGCTGCTCAATTACCACACTGGAAAGTCGCTGTCTCGATCGCGCTGATACGATAACGGCTAGCCGGCTTGCGCACCTGGTGATTAGGCTTCTAGAAGGTTATAGGGCGAGTCGGTAGATGGCGATGACGTCGAAGAGGCAAAACCAAAAATACGGATACAAGGTGGGGGCGGAGAAAAAACGAAGGACGTCCTTGATCGTAAGGTGCCTTTTCCTGTTCGGGTCCTTCACAAGATTGTAAAATCCGTCTCTTTCAGCTCGTTCAGTCATGTGCCGAATGGTTCGGCAGTGGCGACAAGTATTCCTGTCCGAAAGATACGCACGCGTCTGGGTTCTCAAGTTCACGACTAGCTGACGCTACAGAGGTCCGATCGAAAGACTGGGGGATCTCGTGTCGATGACAATGCGACTTTCGATGGTTGGTTGGGTTAAGAAGGCTTAGAGTTTGGGCCTCGGATTCTCGACTCTATCCCCGTTCCAAACGGCTCGCTCCGAAATCTAGACAAGGGTGAGAGACGACAACCCTCGGTTTCTTGTGCGAATCGTGTAATTTTTTTGATTCTTTTTCCCCCCGTGAAAAGTCGAGGGCGTGGCTGGCCTAGCTTCAACGGGGTCTGCGGCTTCTTCCGGTAAACGTCAGGTACTCAGGCAGCGAGGCACCCAAAATCTCGGTTCAACGTGTTGTGGCTGGCGACTCGTGTACAGCCAGTTTTCTTTGTCTCTCTCAGAATGCCGCAGAAGAGAACATGCAAGCCAAATCCAGCACAAGAGCGACGGGAGAGGCAACGAAAGGAGGAGAAGGGACAAAAAAAAATTAGAAAAAAAATCTCCTTAGGTCACAAGCCGAAAGAAATAGTTTTACTAGTGGAAATAGAGAAGGTGCAGATCAAGAACGGGGAGAAACAGGGAAACGCTGAATTGATATTCCCAAACCTCCACTCAGCGCACGAAGTAGGAGGAGGAATCGGTTCTTGTCTGGGTACTCCGTTCTGTACGAGGTACCGTTACTATTGAACAGACGTCAATGACGCCTTCCGTTCCCTAAAACTGTACTAACTTCTTTCGGAAGTGCCAACGGACCACTTTAGGAGGCCAGTATAGGCTACTGGAGTCCCACTACGGGCAGACCTAGAGTTGTCAAGTAACCGATACCTTCTTAGCCTTGCCGATGATCCGTTATGAGAATGGCAAGTCATTAGGCCGCGACGTCAGAGGAGAAGCGAGTCAGGTTAACAATGGTCGCAGCTTCTCAATTGATCAATGGAGAGCAAGAGCAATCACACGATCTGGCATCCAATGCGCCCCGCGCTCAAGGCAATCAATCGATCAATCCCTTGCCAGAGCCGACTTCTAAGTAAGCAGTGGGGGGGCAGTTCAGACCGAACTCAATTGGCCTCAATCAAATGTTGTGTACTGTGCTGTACGACGCCCGTCCAAGTCGGTCTTGCAGTACATTTAGAGAACAGGAAAAGAAGGAAAGAAAGGCCTCCTGACCTGCTCCTGCAGCGAAGAAAGGCGGCAAACAGGCAGCATTGAACGCTAAAACTGGTTTCGAAGCAGGTCTAGACCCCGGACTGTCGCCGACCTTGGTCGATCCATCCTGCCTTCCATTATGGTTCATGTACCAATCGATTTCGAGAACCGTCGAATCATCAATGGAATGAGTGCACTTTTGCCGACCGTTTTTTGCAGCCAAGTCTACGCTAGCGCATGCATGTGTTAGATTATTATGATGCCCTCAGGTCGAGAGCCTAGCAAAGAAGGAAATGAAGACCCCATGGCCAGCCCACTTGGGGTCAGTCCTCAAAGTTGGGACGAAGGAACGAGGGAACCACTCAGAAGAAACTAGAAGGCGAAATAGAAGGCGACAATACGCTACACCGCACTATCACTCCGTACTTCGCGCCCTGGGAAGAGAAGTATACGCTAGCGCAGCTACCATCAAATTGATTGCTCGTCACGCCGTCTCGCCAGCACGTTCGTCTTGGCAAGTGCGATCACCATCAGCACGCCCGGCTTCGGTGGCTGCCAAGGAAGCCAGCAGAGCGAAGGATGGAGGACAAAGCATTCGGGAAACCACGATTACATCAACGGATGTTTAACGACCAGGTAATAATATCCGTCCACCTGCACGTACCAATATCAATCAATACATCCACTTACGAGAAGGGTAGTAGTGTCCGGGATTAATGCCAGGGGTCGAATCAGCATCTGTGACGCAATGGCAATCTCCGCCGAGTCATTGGGCCATTTAGCCAAAAGAAAAAGACGAAAAAAAAAAAAAAAAAATGGGAGAGGGAAAGAGAGCATTCCGGTTCAGTTCAAACTTAACTACTTCGTACGGAGTACTGTAGAGTAGATTAGAACTTTGTTTTGTGCAAGTATCCATGAGCCCCTTTTGGCCCTGGACTCTCCTCTCCTTCGTCCCCCATCTTTCACCGTTTTTCTTCAGTGCTAACGCTGCCAAGTGCCAAGAACCAAGAGCCTTGCCGCCCAAGCGTGGGCACCCCTGTCCGCTTCCATCATCCTTCCCTTCCATTTTCGCTGCTTTTCCCATCCCACTTTTCCCCCGGTCCCTTCCCCCCCCAATTCACCATTCATGCAGACCAACCAGTGATTGTTTGCCCATCTGGCCTATGAGAACCCCCCGGAAGAAGTGGGGGCGAAGTCGGCTCTGGCTGCGGTGACGTAGGGGTACATGAGTGGCTGGCCGTGGCACTTGATTCATGCAGTCAACAGGTCTTCTGAGCCTGGTATGTCAAGGTGAATGGTGGAAACCTCTTTACAGAAATATTTGATGTTGCGCACAAGCCAAGGACAAGACCGGGCTCAACAGGTTGGTCAGATGATAATCCTTGGAAGGCGGATGTGATGGTCTGGGAATAGATCATCAACTGCGTGAGGCTCAGCTCAGGCTCCGAGTCTCCCAGGAGATAGGGGCTCCGACGGGTGGTAAACTTAGGTCTTGCACGTCAACCAATCTACTTCGTATGCTCAGCCCTCCTTTAGATCAGGGTCCCCAAAGAGCGGAGCATGAAATGGACAGGTCACACCAAGTCATTGTTATCAAGGGCATCTTGTCGACTAATCTTCATCTTGCTTTTAACACACTGACTATTCCCAATGGCGTCTAGAGTGTTCACCTAACATCAGGCCGTAGAGTATGCTGTTGAGCAAGCTGCCCCAGATACTGATCCCCCAACAATGGGTCGCGTGCCAGCAAACATCCCTGACTCAGCACCTCTTCCAATGTCCATGCCATTACCAGGACAGATCTTGGAACTCTTGGGAAGGGGGAATCGCCCATGATATGTGCATAGTAAGTTTAAAAGTCCACGGACTGTGATTCATGTGCTCCACTACGGAGGACTGCTTCCATTTCAGTCGTGGGGAGCGGTTGTTGTAACCGGTCCTGGCACCTCTTTTTGACCCCGAACCCCCGGGCGGGCCCAGCTTAAGATTCGATGTTAGTTACCAACTTGTCAAGAGCGCCAGCATTGTCTAGTGCGAGTCGTTATGACGAAGTAAAACGCCTCGTTCACCCGCTAACGATGGGCCTTCTTTCCCTCCCCCTTTCACCACGATGTTTGGCTCGGTCAGAAAGCCACACTTCAGATATTAAACTCAGAGAAACGGTGATATTCTCAGTAACATTTCCCCCCTCTCTTTTTCTAGAATACTCTGCTGCGCCATGCCATCCCACCTCCCACGGTGAGGACCACGCCCTTGGGAACCAGGCCAAAATCAGTGACTGCCGAGGAGTGCGCATGAGGCATGCGGACGCATTGTGCCACAAATCAACGGTGCTTCTGCGCGAAGGGGGAAAAGGAGGGGGGACACAACGTCGGTGAACCGTTTTTGAAATAGAACCCGGACGATTCTGGCTGATCGAGAATTAAATAGCCAGCGGCATTTTTTTGAAGAAAAGCCTTGGCAAGCTTCCTTCAACCAAGTCTCGACCTCTTTGACACAACACATCATTGATTCGCTCAACTATCGTGAAAAGCCAATCTCTTGAAGCTGTGCTCTGACAGGATAGCTTTCGTCTTCGACAGGCAGAACTTGGAGCAGTTGATTTAGGCGGAAATAAGGAGAAAAACACAAGAAGGGGAAAAAAAAAGGTGCAAAAGTTACCCACTCGTTTCGAATCGACAACCTCCCCAAGCTTCCCCCTTCACCTCAACCCCATCCACACCTCCAGCCTCTAAATCTCACAACCTCAGAGGAGCGCATCCCCTCAAAGAAAAGAAGGGGGGGAAAACATCTAGATAAAATAGATAAACTCAGCAAAAAAAGAGTTCCCACTTCTCCCTCCCCTACTCCCAATTTCCCTTTGCCAATCCCATTTCTCAATTTCCTCCACGTCTCATGGTTTGACCAGACCGGCTTCCGGGCCGGTGCCTTGCGGAAGTAGTTTATAAGCAGTGCGTCACCGCTCGACCACTTGAGCTTCCACGAGACGTTGAGAATCCAAAGCCAGAATCTCATACATAACACATAAGCCAACAATCGGCAGTACTCGGGAGGAAGGTGCATTCTAGACGAACGTCCGCATCTTGGAATTTACGCCTCGATTGATATCACGACTGTCCCGTCCGCTACCCCCTGTCCGCCACCGCCTCCCAGCCCCGGAAAAGAAGCGTGGGGGAGAAGAATTCTAGTGCCATATTGCTTCGATCGTCGGACGGCTTGAGCTGCTCGATC